TAGCCAATAGGATGGCAGATTATGAATCACTATAGTTGTGTGTTATGTTCTCCCCTTTGTATGATTTTGGCATTTAAGGGTAAATTACATTTTGGTATGAGAAAATTACCTCATGGAAAGGAATTTAAGCTACAGAGGATATCTTTGAAATAACAAGTAAAACATGTTTTGATTATGCGTAGAAAACAAGAATTCATCTATTCTCCCCCCCTTGCTGTTATGTTCTCACAACCAAACCATGGTTGAGTGATTATTATTAAAAATATTCAAATGTCACAGTTTGGTTAGGAGAAAAAGGCATTGTTGAGAAACAAAGTTGGTGAGAACAGAACAGAAATATCAATGTTTGTCATAAGCAGCAAGATTTTAATGTCCTTTTTTCATGTATTTTTTTAAGGAGGGGTTCATAAACCACTGTGGCTAAATAGAGGCAAACAAAGCTCGACACAAAGCTTCTGAAAACATGGCTACATGATGACCTCTCCACGTTACTGGTTCTCGAAATTTTTTAGCAAAATAAATCTTCACCTTATAAATTTCAAATCCAGCAACCCTATTTCATTCTATGATGTTTTCCCCTTTGGTAACCATTGTGTAATGAATTAATGGGTAAGTTTAGTGTTCCAGCTCTAACTTTATCACTCCTTAAAAGATTTTAGCGGTGGCCTCTGCTGACTTCTGGCTGGTTTCTTTCAATCATGCTACATTTTCTCCCATTGAAACCTGCAAATCAATACAGCTAAATGAGCTATAAAACCAAGTATATCTAAAGAATCAATAGATAAAATGATGATATATGCCCCTTAAATGCAATTTCAAAAACAATTCAGAGACACCTTTATTATTTCCAGCAACCGAATAAGGCAGAACAAAACCTCTCAGCTGGAAATAGATAAATTATATGTAAATTAAGAACGAGCCACAAATACATTATTGAGGTCAGATTTTTAAGGCTATGATGAATTAAGTAGCTTTAAATTGATGTATACAAAATCCAAGCGTGTAAAATGTATGGTCCTGTTCATCTTTTCTTGAATATTTAGAAAAAGAAGACTGATGTTTACAAACTGGTTATCTTTAAATTAAAAAATGTCAACTTAACTTTGGAATCTCAAAAAAACAATAAATAAATAAATGTATGCTGATTTTTTAGAATTTTAATTATTAGTTTCTAAAAGACAAACAACAAACCAATCCAAATGTAGTCTAAACAATAATCTAACCAGTTTGAAATCGTCCGTTCTGCTCAGGTGGTTTTTGGTTTGCTTTCCTGATAAAAGTTGATGCTTTTTCACAGTAGAAAGTAGGATTTTTTGCAAAACCCTATCTGTATAGGAAAGTAAACAGAGACTAGAAAATCCCTAAAGATTGATATGTAATATGCATGTGGACTTTTTTTTTTATCTCATGTTAGCCACTGTATACCTTTTGAAATAGAGTTTCAATCACTTCTGTGTTTTCTGATGCAATATTTCAGTTGAGGTATGTAAAGGTGTGCTATGAAGAATCTCAATGAGCTAATTTATTATGCGACTGGCAATTGTGGTTTGCATAACTTTTATTTATTATCTCCAATTATTTAAGAAAAAAACAAAAGATGATTAAATCATAATTGTTATTTTAGAATTTATTTGTGCTTTTTTGACATTTACATTTTTCTACAGCAAACCCAAAAAGAAAAACTAAATGGTGTCTCCAATAGTTTGAAGAGAAATTCTAGTCACAAGGTGAGTCTAAAGGATTGTATTTTACACTTTCCAGGTAGATTATATGTCTCCTGATCAAGGTGGTAAATGTTCTGCACCGATAAAGGTTTGGAATCAGAAAAAAAAAAAGAAAAAAAAAAGAAAAAAGAAAAACACAACAGATGTTGGTCAATAACTTGTAAAACAAACATTTTAAAACAATATTTTATCAATTATAAAAGACAAATTTGTTTTGTGTCAAATTAGATGTATTTTCTGCAGCTGTTGAGATTTAAAACCTTTAAATGTTATTGATTTAGGAGACTAATGCACAGAAAATAGCATGTTTCTTTAAAACGTTATGGCACCTTCACACCTATTGCACCCCCAGTAAAGACTTAGTACAACATTTAAAGTAAATTTGTCTTTTTTGTAGAAACATAAACCACAGAAGTAAGCCTAATATTTAATTTGATAAAACTTATTAAACGGGGAAAAAAACATCCTGTGATGAAAGAACTGGCACCTTAACCACTCCTTTTGAATATATGCAGCAGAAAAAATTTAAAAACTAATAATTTTATGCTGTTTTTAATTAATAAGAGCTGATTTTACCTTCTGATCACATACGCTTGCCCTGACAAGATAGTGATGCCTACTCTGCCACAAAGATGTTTTGCCATAAAGCATGATTTGGACATTGAGAACCATACTGATGTCCATACTGATATTTTACATAACCATGGGGTCAGGAGGATGATTTACCTGCTGTTTGGATTTTCCAGCATCCCATGCAGCCCACACATGTCCAAGGCTCCTCCACAGGACATGTAGTCCTGCCCCCCGCAGTGTTTAAAGAGAAAACACATATCTCACAGGTATCCTGACTATTTTCCTTAACCCTCTCCTGGGGTTCATATCAAAGAGGAAACCATCATGGCCCCCTTGCCCAGGGACCACAACCCCGGACTGGCCAAAAACTAATCAGACCCGGTGGCGCACATCAGATGTTGCATCAATGCTGCAAATTGACTGTTTGCAACATTTCTCTCTGAGTTTCAGTATTTTCAGAAGCTAAGCTGGAGGTATGAAGCTCCAGAGAAAATAACTTCTGTGCTGTGATCCTGCAATGTTAAGCTGCTAAGTGTGGATACAAAGAAAAAAACCAAGCCTTCCAAGTTTAACAGAGGTTTGCAGGTGTTTCTTTGAACTTTGATAATTTCATGTGTTTAGTGCTGAGTAAAGGCATACAGGTTGAACCACATGGTACAGCATGACATGTTTTTTGAACTGTTATTTATAAAGCTAGAACAGGTTTTATTTCACTAAGCGTTTAGATTAGATTAGATTAAATATTACTTTATTGATCTCAGAATGGAAAAATTCAATTGTTGTTTGATATAAAAAACTGATATAACATTAACGCCCATGTGTTTTCTCATATGCTCATTAAATTTTGATTACCAAATTATGACCAAAATTCATTCAACAGGAATCCTCATGTTTGGTAGCTACTAGCGAAATCAAAGAAGGCTGAGAATCAGTTAACTAAAGGATATTATTTTGTAATTAAGCACATCATTTGATAAAACATTATTTTGCTAAATAATGTTTAAGATAGAAGTTTAGTTTTTTTCCCCTCTGCAATTTGTGAGTATATCAGTGATTTTGTTAAAAATGACTGGAAATAATTATTTTAATACTTAAAAATTTCCTTCTTTGTATACACTATCTGAGAAACATCCCTTCTCGGACTGAACCGCAGTAATTAAATAATGATCAAACAATTGTGAATTGGTCTGAACACATTCTAATTGCTCTAAATTAGCCAAAACTAATTTGACCACATTTCAAATTCTTCAAGATAAACGTTGGTTTTCAAACATAAACTCGATGCTGAACTGTGATATCATTGCATCATCTCATTGATTATGGTTTCCAACAATATTTTTCCTTCTTCTTCTTTGTGTACAGATAGATTAGATGAGTTGAATTTCCTAGTTTAGTCGAGAGTTTTTAATTGAAATATATTTGACTTGGAGCTTAATTATTTTTGTCAATAAACTGTTATATTTAATGGAAGTTGTGGTTTATTTATTCTATATGTGCAGAGTTATCTGTTCAACCTCGATTTGAGCCCGATTCACACTTTCATTTGTTGATCTGACACACAGCTAGTGGGGCGTGTTCACAAACAATATATGACATTCAAAACATTGAATAACATATTTACCACCCCTACCAGAGTGTATAATAAAAACATTAATGTTGCATAACAAATGGAAGACAAGATAATGAGTCATTCAGAAAAGACAGGTGTGAAGGGCTTTGAAAGTGCTACAAGCCTTAAATTACCCCAAACCTTGATCAAAACAGTAATGTAAAAAAATTTTAAACTTCAACTGTGACAGACAAAGCTTGATGAATCAGTTTAATCATGTCACCAAGCAAATTGAGAAGAAAAGCATTTAGTATTTTCTTTTTGAAGAAATCACAGTTGAAGAATTACATCTAAGAGTACTTTCTTTGGGTCACCAAAGTTCTTACCCTAAATGCATTATAAATTACGGAGCCCCTCTGATGACATGGTCAAAAAAAATGTTTAATTGTGGCCACGAAGTAGTATTTCGTGCGCACGAAGTAGTATTTCCTGGCCACGCAATAAGTTTAACGTACGCACGAAATACTTATTAATAATATCAATAAATCCGCCCCTGTTTTCAGGCTTATGTTAACTGTAATGACTTATCTTGGACAGGCTGCTATGTAAACGGGCCTTTAGTCCTTCGTTTAGCTATGCTGCGGTTGTTTACACTACGCCTTTTCCACCTAAAATGGCGTCTTAGCAACAAATGTCACGTGACTGGCGGAGACCGACTGGGTAAGCAAATCGAGCGCGCCTTCTCTAAGGTCTAAGGCGCGCTCGATTTGCTTACCCAGTTGTCCAGGAATTATATTAATATTATTAATAACTATTTCGTGCACAGGTTAAACTTATTGCGTGGCCACGAAATAGTATTTCGTGCGCACGTTAAACTTATTGCGTGGCCACGAAGTAGTATTTCGTGCGCACGTTAAACTTATTGCGTGGCCACGAAATAGTATTTCGTGCGCACGTTAAACTTATTGCGTGGCCACGAAATAGTATTTCGTGCGCACGTTAAACTTATTGCGTGGCCACGAAGTAGTATTTCGTGCGCACGTTATACATATTGCGTGGCCACGAAATACTACTTCGTGCGCACGAAATACTACTTCGTGGCCACAATTAAAAAAATTTTTTGACCATGTCATCAGAGGGGCTCCGTAATAAATAGGTATTGTTTCACCAGTTTTACCAGGGGTGCGGATAATTGTGGAGAGCACTGTGCATATGGAATGCATTTGTTTCTATACATACAGAGTAAATATATGTTGTTATAGAAAAGAGTCAATTTTAGTTGAAAATCTATTGGCAAAATTTACCTAACCTTGTCAAAAGTTTTCTGTGAAACAGCATTTAAAAGAGAAAAATAATAAACTGTTAGGATTTTAGTAACTCAATTAAACTGTTTGTGATTTGTTGTTTATTTACCCACCTGAAAACCACAAAGGAACCTGATGCAACTTTAACTCCAGAACAAAGGCATATAAAATCTGTTGACTTAGAAAGACTTAAAATCATAAAAATGAAAGAAAGTTACCCGCTGGTCTGTGAGACCATTGTCAAACAACCCTCATAAAATATAGCATAACATAAATATGAAAATATAATTGAAAAGATAAACATGTTTAGAGTGAAGTATTAAAATAATTGTCATTGTTTCTTAGAAAATGTCATTTTCCCCAGGTCATGTGAAAAACAATTCTCAAAAACATCACAAAAATGTTATGACGCCACTGATAAACTCTTTAAAAATTCTTTTTGGGATACAAAGAGTGAAAAGTACTCCTCTGACTGTCCACTTAAAAATGCCACATTTAACGAGGCAAGTATGTTTTTACCACATGTGGTACAATGTAAGCTGTCTTTATCCTATACAGTAGTGACTGAGAGGAAAGCATTGTGAACCTTTGCTCCCTCAGGAGCCTTGGTGCCATGAGTCATCAGCTCCTGGATAGTCATCCAGTTGTCCAAGATCTTCTTATTGCGTTTTTTCAGCATCTTCTTGTGGCTGAGCTCTATAATACTGACCTCTTTACGGCCCTCGCTGCTGCTTTGAGGGTTCTCCTTCAAGCTTTCCAGACGACTGCGCTGCATGAATTCTCTTCTCCTCTTCTGTTCTTTTGCCCTGACCAGATGTTGCTTCCTTTCCTCTTTGCTCCAGTATCTCCCCATCTTCATCTCACTCATTGCATCATCATCTGTGGTCATTCCTCCACTGCGCTCTTCTTTAATCTTTAAGGCCCGTTCCCTCAGGATCTTGTCTCTCACAGGCCTCTTGGTAATGTAGCGAGTGCCATCGCTGCGGATCTTGACCTTCCACTCCATCTTGGGCTCAGTAATGGGTCTCTGAGGCTCTTTGCAGACACTAAGCAGGCTGAGCTGACTCTGAGCATACTCAACAGCTGAACGCTGCTGGATCAGCTGCATGTAGCTCTGGTAGTGACGAGCATGGGCAGGAATGTTGGCCTGTCTCTGCTGGGAACTGTGCGAAGGAGAGAAGTAAGGAATCCGAGAAGTGCATTGTTTTAACTTTTTTTTACTGTCCTCAGCATGAGTTGTCTGATCAGACTCGGAAGGGTTGCTGTGGTCAGGGCTGCTGCTTTTGCCTGGAACAGGGGTTCTACAGGTTAGGATGGGGCTTGGGCTAGGGGAGTATCCAGTAGCAAGCCCACCATAGAGGTTCCTCTGGTTGGTGAGGCTAACCATTCTCTGGAGAGAGTGCTCTGGGGAGCGGTCCATTGCCAAAGGAGTGCTCCGAGAACTTTCTGCAGTGTTGTAGGCACTGGAGCTGTCCTTGTCAGACTTTTCCATCCTCTCATTGATGTCTGCAAGCTTACCCTTAACAGACTCTCCATGGTTGGGGCTTTGATTTTTGATGGAAGCTGCAGAACGTCCCATTAAAGGAGACTGCTGACTCTTACGCAGCTTATGGGCCTGCATGATGTTTTGGCACTCAAGTTCAATACTGCGCAACTCCTCGTTAAGCATACGCAGCTCATGCTGGACGTCGCTCTGCTCTGCCATGCTACACTCTATAGTGCTGCGACGGCTGTAGAACAGGTCGTACTCGCCACTGTTGCGTATCTGACACTTAAGCTCCAAAAGTTGCTGGAAACGATCTCCCTCTGTCTCATCGTTGTCCTCATAATCGTTATCTTCAAAGCGTTTGCTACCACTGGTAGACTGCGAGTCCTGACTGTCTCGTAGGCAGCGGGACAGATGTCTCTGGATTTGGGCTAAGACGTTATGGTCTGAGCTTTCTTTTCTCTCTTTTGGATTTTGTACACTGTCTTTTGAACAAGAAAATGTAGAACATGAAGGCTTGTCATCCTCTGACCTCTGAAAATATAAAATGACAAAAAGAAAACAGAAATGAAGGGCCTGATCCTTGCAAAATTGTTAAAAATTTTACAGTGTTCAAAGACAAAAATATAACAAAATACTTTTAGTAAATCCAATCCCAGGTATTGGCTTGGACACTGTTTTACCCATAAGAACATTTTTATTTGATCAGTATAGGACTCCCTGACAATATTCAATTTCTGATTAGTTTAACTGTAGAGTTATGTACACTATATTGCCAAAAGTATTTGCTCACCCATCCAAATTATTGGAATCAGGTGTTCCAATCACTTCCATGGCCACAGGTGTATAAATTCAAGCACCTAGGCATGCAGACTGTTTTTACAAACATTTGTGAAAGAATGGGTCGCTCTCAGGAGCTCAGTGAATTCCAGCGTGGAACTGTGATAGGATGCCACCTGTGCAACAAATCCAGTCGTGAAATTTCCTCGCTCCTAAATATTCCACAGTCAACTGTCAGCTGTATTATAAGAAAATGGAAGTGTTTGGGAACGACAGCAACTCAGCCACGAAGAGGTAGGCCACGTAAACCGACGGAGCGGGGTCAGCGGATGCTGACGCGCATAGTGCGAAGAGGTCGCCAACTTTCTGCAGAGTCAATCACTACAGACCTCCAAACTTCATGTGGCCTTCAGATTAGCTCAAGAACAGTGCGCAGAGAGCTTCATGGAATGGGTTTCCATGGTCGAGCAGCTGCATCCAAGCCATACATCACCAAGTGCAATGCAAAGCGTCGGATGCGGTGGTGTAAAGCACGCCGCCACTGGACTCTAGAGCAGTGGAGACGCGTTCTCTGGAGTGACGAATCGCGCTTCTCCATCTGGCAATCTGATGGACGGGTCTGGGTTTGGCGGTTGCCAGGAGAACGGTACTTGTCTGACTGCATTGTGCCAAGTGTAAAGTTTGGTGGAGGGGGGATTATGGTGTGAGGTTGTTTTTCAGGAGCTGGGCTTGGTCCCTTAGTTCCAGTGAAAGGAACTCTGAATGCTTCAGCATACCAAGACATTTTGGACAATTCCATGCTCCCAACTTTGTGGGAACAGTTTGGAGCTGGCCCCTTCCTCTTCCAACATGACTGTGCACCAGTGCACAAAGCAAGGTCCATAAAGACATGGATGACAGAGTCTGGTGTGGATGAACTTGACTGGCCTGCACAGAGTCCTGACCTCAACCCGATAGAACACCTTTGGGATGAATTAGAGCGGAGACTGAGAGCCAGGCCTTCTCGTCCAACATCAGTGTGCGACCTCACAAATGCGCTTCTGGAAGAATGGTCAAAAATTCCCATAAACACACTCCTAAACCTTGTGGACAGCCTTCCCAGAAGAGTTGAAGCTGTTCTAGCTGCAAAGGGTGGACCGACGTCATATTGAACCCTATGGATTAGGAACGGGATGTCACTTAAGCTCATATGTGAGTCAAGGCAGGTGAGCAAATACTTTTGGCAATATAGTGTATATTAGCAGGTATTTACAAGTACGCCTTTTGATGTGGATGGCCTAAAAATTGAGTTTTAGTTTAAGTCAAGCTTAGGTATTTCTAATTGAAAGCCTTTATCCTTTACAATAAAGTTAACAGTGAGGGAGAAAGGTTGCAAACCCCTTTCTGTCACCTGACCTGCAGATATCCAGACAGCTCTCAATGCTCTCAAGAACTGAACCTGGAACTGTAACAATTCTTAGGTTTTTGTCAATACATGTAAAATATAGGTGACAAGCCAAAATATCACTGAGTCATATAGAAATAAAGAGTAAGCATGTGAACATCGGCCTTGCTCTAAATGGAACAATAACAGAACAGAACCGTGGGACATACTGAGCACAGTATCAGTCTGTTTTGCAAGAAATTTGCATTTATTTATTACAATCTAATCATAGCTTTTTAAACTGTTTATATCTTTGTTGTAGCAGAGCAGTAGCCTTGTGAGACCATCCTGATCTTTCGAGCTTTCAAGGTTTCACTCGCAGATCGGTCTGGAGACTCTCCATTAAAGAAAATTTGGAGCAGTTCACTAAACGAACGTCCAATCAGCGTTGGCTTTGAGGCGGGTTGAGGTGTGACGCAACAAGAAGCGCAACAGTTCAGTCTAAAGAACATGTTTTACAAGGCTGTTAGCAGAAAGATGCCTTGATTTTGATTTTAATGGTTTCCCTTTATAACTTTGATCAGGAAAGTAGGTGGCAGCAACCAGAAGCTCATCTCCTAGTTAAAATGTACCTGATTCCCAATCTTGCTCCAAACTCTTTTCAGCAAACTAGATAATAATCTTCACTAACTAATGTGCTTGTATCAATACCTCTCCCATGGACATTGTCTTTTTCATTGTTCAGGGTTAAATTGTCTTTTTTTCTATGAGAAATAAATCCTCGTTGTCCGGTTATGCTGAATTAAAGCTGAAATATGGACTCCTCTCACCACATATTTCTTTCAAATCTACAGGTGAAGAAATAAGTGCATTTATTCAATTTGTAACGAATGTTTTTGTAGTTCTCTCTGAATGTGTATGGGTTTTTTTTCTTCAAAAGAAATCTATACAGACACAATAAAAATGCATCCAAAATCATAAAATGTTATTTCAAAAACTATTATTTTTAAAGATTCATTGAAAAAGGAAGATAAAAAGACAAAATAAAACTTGCATTGCTTTATTCTCTCTGCAGGAAGGGCAAACCAATACCTCACCCTCCCAAAGGACACACATTAGGTTTTTCTTTGTGAGTGTGTGTATAAGACTGTGTTACAGCTCTCATACTTCAGAGATCATCATGTTTCTGCCATGTCTTTGAAGTTTCATTTGTATGGATTGTCAACGAATGCTCTCATCCCACCAAAAGAGAATTTTAGATTATGATTATTATTGTTTGGAATCTGAATGATTCAGTAGTCCCTCTTCATACATATTCATTAAGAACTTTTTCTTTCCTCAAAGGGACTGGAGCGCCTGTTTTCACCTGGCACTCTAATAAAGTCAAGGGAGTGTTTTTCCTTTTTCAAATAACATTTTTTTCTATGTAGTGTGGAACACTTTTGTTTTCTTCATTTAATTTAACTGAGCAAAGTCTATTGCTTATGAAATTGATATTGAAAAGCATTGCAATGTGTTAGGCCATCAAATTCTATTTCTCTGACCTGCTGCTTCTCCTGTTCTTCTTGCAAGGCAGCTAATTCCATCTCCTCTCTCTGCTGCTCTTCCAACATTTCCATCTTCAGCTGCTCCAGGAACTCGCTATGCTCATCATCCAGCCATGCCTCTTCCAGCTGGGGAGTGAAAGCATAAGGAAAACACATGGATGAGGAAAATGGTGATTGCTGGGAAACAGAAAAAAAAGAAAAACCATGATTTTTTTTCACGGCCCAGAGCCTGTGACAATGCAGTGCCTCAAAAACAAATAGTTAGATTTTCCAAATGGGTGCACAAATGGGATTTCCTGAAAAATACCCCTGCATGGGTTTAAAATGGGAAACCGCCGCTATATTTGATATTTGGCTTTCTTACCAAGAGCTGCTGATCTTTAAAATTGGCCAATTCAGTTTGATGGCCGTAAACCAATGGCTTTTGACCTTTTACCTTTGCATCATCCATCAGGCTGCTTGATGTGAACCAAATGCTATCCTTATCTGATGACTTCACATTCACTACTGGAAGAGCTACTTAATTACAAAGCCCCTACTCCTGCTTTCTCTGCTCATCTGCACTGCGGCAAAGTCCTTCCACTTACTCGTCTCTGGCCTTGGGCCTGAACTCACTCCACATTAGCATGCCATTAGCATTTATGGCTTACCATTGCAAGTCAATTACAGTGGTGCTACATAAAAATAAAATATTATGGGATGTCCCAGCAGTGGCTTCCATCAGCAGAAGTTGTGTGCTTGATGGGAGGGGAGAGGTTGCTAAACTGGGAATAGTAAAGCTTGCTCTACGCAAACAATGTTAATGGCAAATCCCTTTTAGTTGTATTTCATAAATAGTTTTCCTTTAAGCCAGCTGTTACTTGAATATAAAAGCTGAGTGATTGTAACCTGCATCTCAGGTCGGGCAACTAGTAGGATGATGTTCCTGAAGTCATCACTGGAGAGAGCAGCCATTGCCTCTTCTCTGTCCTGCACATCTTGACCGTTAATCTGCAAATTAAGAAAATATGATTATTTGACTCATAAGTAAGAAAGTACAACAATAACTCTCATAAATATCAACTGAGGTCTTGCTCTCACAAATGAGTACACCCCTTACATTTTTGTAAATGTGACAGGCCGGTGGGTTATTTTGAGTCACTTATAGATCCTGGAAAAGTGGTGTCCAAGCTTTCCAATGATATACAACTTGTAACACAGGGAAGCAGAGCATGATGCCCTTGCTTCAGAAACTGGGCAAATGGGCAGTATTTAAGCATTATAACAACCAAAATAAAAGAACTCTCTCACAAGATCTACAGAACGTTACTACAAAAACTAAGGGGGGAATGCTGGACTCGCTAAACCCTTCTCAAACAGAAGGTGAAGGATCTCCAGATATTCATCAGCATGTGATTTGCTTCAGGGGGGATTTAGGATGAGTCCTGCGGCAATCTTAAGATCTAATATACCGTAAATTCCGGACTATAAGCCGCTACTTTTTCCCCGCTGTTTGAACACTGCGGCCTATAGTACAGTGTGGCTAATACATGTTTTTTTTCATGTAAACATCAAGCATCACCGGCGGGTTTTGGAAGGCTGGGCTGCTGCGGGATGAAGAGGACCGGGAGTGCTCAACTGAGAGCGAAAAGGATGAGACTGAAGTCAGTGACAGCATCCTGAAGCTGTTCCATTCAGACACCGAGGAAGAGGACTTTGAGGGTTTTAGTGCGCAGGAGGAAGAAGAAAGTAATGACTTTTCCTGGTCGGCTGCAATGTTCTGTGCGTTGTTCAATTAAAAGTACCGGTATATGCAGCGTTATTTGCGTGTTACCAACACATACGTATATTTAAATGTGTTACAGGTAGTAAAAAAAAAAAAAAGCATTCATAATATGTACCGTATTTGTTTGTTTTATCATACGGATTAAGTCAAACGTTAAAAAAATGCTCACGTGTAATATCTTTAATTGTAAATATCTCGTACAACGTTGGAAACCTGCGGCTTAAAATCTGGTGGGGCTTATAAAAGTACAAAATTTATTTTATTTCTAAAATTAGAGCATGCGGCTTGTAATCAGGTGCTCTCTATAGTCCAGAATTTACGGTACTTAATGTCCAAGAGTGATAAATGCAGTGCAGGAAACTACTGGTGGCCACACAAAATACTGACACTTGGGAACATCACTTCAGCATCTATCTAATTGTATATTTAGTTATCTTTAAGGGCACAGAAAATTTACACTGTTATACAAACTGTACAAACTTGATACTTTCAGGTGCTGATCCATGAAAAGATGGAATATGAAAGATAAATATTTACAAAGATATATGAGGGATGTACTGTAGATAATTTCCTCTCTTCAGGAGAAAGGACACACTTCTTGTCTCTTGAAAAATACATGTATAACCCACTACCCAAGCTGTTATCATGTATGAAACAGCAGACTTGTGGTGCTCACCAAAGTTTCCACAGTGTACATGCATCTAGCTGTACAATTAGCTGACCTCTGGCAGGCGGCTTCCATCTTTTTGCCTTTAGAATAATGGCCCTGTCAGTGGTGGATAATGGGGCCAGAGTACTGGTCCGCCTTACAAACATGTGCCTCATTGTAGCTAAAATCAGCCTCGCAACTCATAAGCTCGAACAGTAGCGCTTATGCATCCAGTCCCCTCATCTTTTGTTCAGTAAAATTAGTTTCTTAGTCAATTTATCATAAGTATCAAAGTATATTTGCATATAAATGTACTGTTTTCCACTACCGGTGATGCTCAGCAACATTCGGGTTTAAAAAAATTGCTCTTCTGTTATGTTTCTCACTCCACGGACCCTTAGGGGAACTATTGTTATTACCGGGAATGTCCCAAATTTAGGTATGTTAAAATAATATTTGTTGGCATACCAGATGAAACGAATCACCATACACTTTTTGTGTGCTGCTGTGTAATTTTAACGGTCATATCAAGGCAACATTAAAACTGTATAATTTGATGGCATGTGTTATATGCAGAACAAATGTGCATCATTTATTTTTATTTTTATAGTAAACTTGTTAGTAGAGCAACAATTGATTTATTTGACCTGCCAAATCAGCTTTTACTGCTTGAACAAAGTAAAGTTTTTGACTTCTGAACAGATGCATGTTTTGTACAACTACATTAGTAGTGTAATATTAAGGTATTCCAAGTATTTAAAACCAAAAATCTGTAAGGAGCCTAAAGTGCATTGTAGCAAAATGCTAGAAAAAAAGCAAAGTTGAGCAGAGTTTTCTTCACTTAAAGGACATACTGTAAAATACCAAAGTTATGCTTCTAATCCACGTTACAGCACACTTCCATATGCCTAATAGAGAGCTGCTATATTTACTCCCTGAAACGAAGAGGATACATTCAACTAGAAATGTTTTTTGGTACAATCATGGATATGTTTTTTCTAATTTAATAGCTTATTTCCATCTATTAGAATAAAAAAACAACAACCAAATAATAGCTTTTGGTTAATATAACTGTGATACAAATAATTGTATAAAATCTTTTAAAAATTAATATGAAATCTTAGTTGTTTTTTTCTTAAATAATAATATATATGTTATGTTTTTTATACTTTATGTACAAACTGTAATTTTGTAGTTATACACTAATTCCACTGGTATATATCTAGGTTGTTAATGCCTGCTATACTCATTTTTTCTTATTACCGTTCACATTTTTCCACATTTGTTGAACTTTGACAGTTTTCTTAGTGTTGGTATGTGTTTCAACTTCCTCTGTGTTCCCCTTGTTAATTAGTCCTCTTCCCTTTGAACACTCTCCATCGGCTGATTAACATTCCTCTGATTAGACTCATCCAGGTTAAATATCACTCTCCCTCAGTAGTTTATATCCCTGGTTTCCATTGTTTCTTGCTGGATTCTTCTGTTACACTGAATCTGATTAACCTTTTCCTTCATCTTGCACATGTAATTGAATTAATACAAGCTGTTTTGTTCTGCTTACATTTGTTTCCATTAAAACTGCAAACCAGAATGCAAAGTTAACACAGATAATTTTATAACAGACCATGAGATGCACAGAAATGATAAGTTTGTCGATAAATTGGTCACTTATGTCTCAAAACATACATGTAGCCTAAATACATGTATGTACAACTAATGTAACTATAAATACAAATAAAACGTTAGCAGTGAGTCCTATTTATGAATATAAACATATTTCAGTTTGAGTTTTTTTTACAATTTCAAAATCAGCTGTAACAAATTGGTACTTCTATGTAGCTCTTAGTTTTTACCTACTCTTTACTTTTCCAAAAGTTAGCAAGTTTTGTATGCATTAAAATGATCCACAAGCACACAATAAGATATTTAAGTGTACAACAAAATGCACAAATATGTTTTAAAAAATACATAAATGCATATTATAACACTAATAAATGTGGAAACAGATTTTAAAATTTACACGATTAAAACTGGAAGAGATATAATACAAAACGCACACACACTGAAAAATGTAATGTTTGATTTGCCAGCTGCAGATGGATCGGTCAACATGAGCAAACAGATCAGCTGTCCTGTGCTTAACGACTTTGATTTTCTAACTGAGGGGTGATTCGTGAATGACATGATGCATCAAAGGCTGGAGAAAAGCTCAGATATCTGAGAATGCGAGAGAAAACTGTGATGTCTCAGCATTATCCACTTTATAGGAAATAAAGTTGTTTTTGTTTTTTTGGCAAAGTAGTCCAACAAACATTATATTAAAAATGTTCACTTGCTTTAACTTTACATTACATTTATTGTATTGGATTCTAAAAAAAAAACTAACAAAAAGTAATTATTTATAACATACTGCAAAAATAAACACATTTTAATTGGTATTTTTTCTTCTTAAAGTAAAGAATAAAAATTACAGTTGATATTGATGGAAATGAACATTTTATAAGCAAATAGCCAAGTACAGGGTCAGAAATACTTGACACTTAATGTCTGCTGTAACTTTATTTGTCTTCAGATGATAAAAGGCAATAATACAGTCATTTTCATTTACATCAACTGTTAAATTTATTTTCTGCAAATGTACATTAAGACCACTCATATACTTCAGAAGATTGACTGCGTTGTGGATGTCCCGCCAACTTGTGCACGTCGTCCCATGATAAAGGCTAAAGTGCTGCTCGAAGATGGTGCTATTGCTCGCATTAGTTTTCAGAGTTTATTTTTGTTCCAGAAAAAGAAGAACCTAAACTTTATTCAATTCAATTCAGTTTATTTATATAGCGCCAAATTCACAACACAAGTTATCTCAAGGCACTTTACAGTTCAACCAGATCATGCAGTCAAATTGATTCAAAGTTTTCTATCTAAGGAAAACCAGTTGATTGATTGAACATGATATATCATGTTGATACATGAACCAGTTGACTCAAATACAATCCCTCAAACTAAGCATGCTTGTAGCGACAGTGGAGCAAACCTACACTTCGCTTGTTTTAAAAGTAGTTTGAACCATTTTTTTTTAATCCAGAAAATGTATTGTAATCTAAAAAGTGCATATTTTTAACATAGTGTATATTGGGCTGCTGGGCCAAAGAAAAAGTAAAACACAAAATAAACTATATTTTCAGTAAATCCAGCAAAGCTGAGACAGTGGGGCAAAAAAGTATTTAGCCAGCCACCAATAGTGCAAGTTCTCCCACTTAAAAAGATGAGAGAGGCTGGTAATTTTCATCATAGATATACCTCAACTATGAGAGTCAAAATGAAAAAAAAAAATCCAGAAAATCACATTGTCTGATTTTTAAAGAATTTATTTGCAAAATATGGTGGAAAATAAGTATTTGGTCAATAACAAACAAGCAAGATTTCTGGCTCTCACACTCGTTACCTTCATTAATGGCACCTGTTTGAACCCGTTATCAGTATAAAAGACACCTGTCCACAACCTCAAACAGTCACACTCTAAACTCCACCATGGCCAAAACTAGAGAGCTGTCAAAGGACACCCTAAACAAAATTATAGACCTGCACCAGGCTGGGAAGTCTGAATCTGCAATAGGTAAACAGCTTTGTGTGAAGAAATCAACTGTGGGGTCAATTATTAGAAAATGGAAAACATAAAAGACCACTGATAATCTTCCTCGATCTGGGGCTCCACGCAAGATCTCACCCCGTGGGGTCAAAATAATCACAAGAACGGTGAGTAAAAATCCCAGAACCACACAGGGGGACCTAGTGAATGACCTGCAGAGAGCTGGGACCAAAGTAACAAAGGCTACCATCAGTAACACACTACGCCGCCAGGGACTCAAATCCTGCAGTGCCAGACGTGTCCCCCTGCTTAAGCCAGTACATGTCAAGGCCCGTCTCAAGTTTGCTAGAGAGCGTTTGGATGATCCAGACGATGACTGGGAGAATATCATATGGTCAGATGAAACCAAAATAGAACTTTTTGATAAAAACTCTACTCGTCGTGTTTGGAGGAGAGAGAATGCTGAGTTGCATCCAAAGAACACCATACCTACAGTGAAGCATGGGGGTGGAAACATCATGCTTTGGGGCTGTTTTTCTGCTAAGGGACCAGGACGACTGATCCGTGTGAAGGAAAGAATGAATGGGGCCATGTATCGTCAAATTTTGAGTGAAAACCTCCTTCTATCAGCAAGGGCATTGAAGATGAAACGTGGCTGGGTCTTTCAGCATGACAATGATCCCAAACACACCGCCCGGGTATTGAAGGAGTGGCTTCGTAAGAAGCGTTTCAAGGTCCTGGAGTGGCCTAGCCAGTCTCCAGATCTCAACCCCATAGAAAATCTTTGGAGGGAGTTGAAAGTCCGTGTTGCCCAGCGACAGCCCCAGAACATCACTGCTCTAGAGGAGATCTGCATGGAGGAATGGGCCAAAATACCAGCAACAGTGTGTGAAAACCTTGTGAAGACTTACAGAAAACGTTTGATCTCTGTCATTGCCAACAAAGGGTATATAACAAAGTATTGAGATGAACTTTTGTTATTGACCAAATACTTATTTTCCACCATATTTTTCAAATAAATTCTTTAAAAATCAGACAATGTGATTTTCTGGATTTTTTTTTCTCATTTTGTCTCTCATAGTTGAGGTATATCTATGATGAAAATTACCGGCCTCTCTCATCTTTTTAAGTGGGAGAACTTGCACTATTGATGGCTGACTAAATACTTTTTTGCCCCACTGTATATCAGAGTCTTTTTTTCCAGCCTTGTACACATCATCTTATCACCTTGCTGTAAGAAAGTCCTTAAGCACAGCTGATCAGTATGCTTGTAAACGAGCCATCAACAGTTGGAAATGTAAGCATTCACATTTGCTGGTTTGTATAAATTGTGTACCATTACTTTTGAAGTTTGAATGGTGCAAATTTGAGAAAGTCGACACATTTGTGATTTTTAAGGCACTCTTTTATGCCTATTGTGATACACATTTGTGAATTCTGCAGCATACTTCTAAATAATGCTGTACGCTAATGGATCTGTTTTTATCTGATTAAGTACAAGCAGTGAATATATAAACTTTAATGGTATATTCCAATGTGGGAAATTTCTGTTGTTATTGTTATATTAAAAAAATCAGTCCTTGTTGATATGTGCCAGTGCTTTAGATCTTTAAATTACACTATGGAATGTAGTCATGTTAGCTTTTTCATACTATTTGCATTTCCCTTCCTGTCAAATTGACTGAACACAAAGAGGTTGAAAGGGAAGTTTTTTTTAAAGACAAAACTGAATGCATCAACAGGAATGAACTGCAAGTCACCCTGAAGATGCAGCAAAGCATAAAACCAGAAAAGATTTAATGTGCTGCCATAAACTGAAAGCTGTGTTTACCACATGTTGTGGGCATTGCAGAGCTTTAGATGAATTAATTAAAACAAAAGAATATCTCTGTAAGTAGATGTGAAAATCAGATGGAAGAAACAGTAATTAAAGGACAATGGTCATGTATCTGTAGGCAGCAACAACAAAGATTCTGATTTTTAAGACCCTCTAATGACAGAGGTAAGAAAAGTGAAGTAAAATCATTAATGGAAAATCATTAAAATGTGATACAATCCGTCCCTTTCTCACCAACACGACCCCCCAATCCTGCTCTTATTGAAACAAAGACCAGCCTTTAGCTGTAAGGCCTGACAAATCTCGCTCTCTGCTCTCAGGCTGAAGATGAAGTTAAAGGCTAATGGTAGTCACAGCCTCTGAGCCATCACACAGGAGGCAACGAGCTGCAACCCATAGCTGTCCTGAAGCAGAACCCTTAAAAAAAAAAAAACCCTGTTGGTGCTGAGTCGGTAACTAAAACAGCCAGGGGGGCATTTCCTCCTCCTTAACAGTCGCAGTGGGGGCAAGCTCCCACTATAATGTGCTGCCATTAAAGAAAAATGTGCTCTCTTAATGGAAGATACTTGTTAGTAAAACAAGACAACAGAAAAATTATTTTGCTAAGGCAAAGAAGAGCTTTTTTAGGAGGTTTGTGAGTGTATGGCATACTGTACCTGTAAGATACGATCTCCTTCTCTGATCCGTCCGTCTCTGGCAGCTATGCTGTTGGGACTGACCTGTACATCAAAGAAAATGCTTTTACCCTTTATGTTTGGGAGAATCAAGACTGTTTTTATTTGTTATTTTATGTATTATAAGTTGTAGCTAGCTAACTTAAATTTTTTATGTTCATGGTGTCGTTGATAGGCTGTCAAACAACTTTAAACCAGGAGTTAACGATATTTGAAATGCACCACAAAATCAGAAGCTTACAATTTCAGTTTTTAGCTGCAATTGTTTCACTCTTTTTTTCCCAGGAGCAACTACAAAAAGCAATTCCATTCTTCAAACCCACTTCAGCAGACAATGCACTTGTTCTTCTTGAACACAATGCTTTCTAACAAGGACACAACTTTCTTCATTCCACAATAAACTGGTTTTCAAGGCAATTTGTTTTACTTTCACCAATTTGTGAGGATGTTGAGGCACAAAGCTGCTCCATCTTCATAATAGTTTCCTCCCACACTGAGGAACACTCATTAAACCAGAAGCGACGTTACAAGACAGGAGTCATAGAAAAATGGAAAACAGAAAAGAACTACAGTGTCTTGCAAAGATTTTAATTTCAGCTTAACTTTTATAAATTTCATTGTTTTTCATTTGAATCTTTTTGTAAAGAACTTTAAAAAGTAATCTACAAGTCAGTGAAGTCTGTGTTTGTATTCTGCCCACTTTAATTCAATACCCCTAACAAAGTTACTGCAACTAAATGGCTCTAAATAGAGTCAACCTCTGGGTAATTTAGTCTTAGGATAGATCCAGCCCACTGTAATTTGCTAAAGAACCTTAGTGAACAAACAGCATCCATGAAGACCAATAAACAAACAGACAGGTCAGAGAGGGAAGGTTAGGTTATAAACATATACCTGACTGAATATCTCACTAAAAACAAAAAAAAAAAAGAAGTCTGATTTATAAAACACTTTCTCACAAGCTATGAAGGGAACTGAACAAATATTAGAGCAAAAGCTTCTCTGATAACTTAAGACCAAATTCTTTTGCTTAGAAGAAATCAATGCCTGGATGTGCCATAATTTTCTTCAACTGAATAAAAACAAAACTAAAGTAATACTCTTTGGACCAATAGAGGAGAGATCTAAAGTTAGCACACAGCTTCAGTCGCTTCAGCTAGTAACCACTGATCAGGCCCGAAATCTAGGTGTAGTGCTGGATTCAGACTTGAACCTCCAAAAGCATTTAAAGACAATTACAAGGTCAGCTTTCTATCACCTCAAGAAAATTTCCAGGATTAAAGGACTAATGTCTCAGCAGGATCTGTAAAAACTAATCCATGCGTTTATTTTTAGTCGAATTGATTACTGCAACGGTGTTTTCACAGGTTCAAAAAGTGGATCAGACAGCTGCAGCTGATCCAGAACGCTGCTGCCCGTGTCCTCACTAAGACTAAGAAAGTAGAGCACATCACCCCAGTTCTAAAGTCCTTACACTGGCTCCCTGTATCTCAGAGAATAGACTTTAAAATACTTCTGTTAGTCTATAAATCTCTGAATGGCTTAGCACCTAAATACATCACAGACTTGCTATCAGTGTATCAACCCTCCAGACCACTCAGGTCTTCTGGCTCCAGCCTGCTCTGCATACCTAGAACCAGAACTAAACATGGAGAAGCAGCATTTAGTTCCTATGCTCCACTTATCTGGAACAAACGTCCAGAAAACTGTAAAAGTGTGGAAAGTCTGAGTTCCTTTAAAGCTACAGTGTGTAATTTTCAGCGACATCTAGCGGTCAGACTGCAGACCGCAGCAACATGAACATCTCCCCCCCACCGCTTCTCCCCCCCAACAGTACGGCGAGCGTTACGGGACAAAATTTCTTCCACGACGTCCACATCACCTACCTTCTCAAGTGATGAGGTTTGTTTACATAGATAATTTTACAGATAGTATTTCATTAGTCTGAGTAGGGTATAGATTTCATGTAGACTTAAGATAATAAATATACCCGTTATTTTTTCTACATCGTTGTGACGTTTTGGTGAGCTGCTTTGCATGGTGATATAAACAGACGAAGTAATTGTAGTCATTAGTTTAACAGCGAGATTGTGTTCGCTGGAAGAATATATATTCCCCGTTTACAGAGTCTAAGTCATTTTGGTGGCACGGGGGTTACAACGCGAGGAAGAGGGAGAGGACGAGGGCGAGGGCAGGGAGGCCGTGCAGCTAGGGCCAGGCGAGAGAGGGGAGCCAGCGGGGTGAGAGCAGAGGAGGAAAGGCTTGAAGATCTCCAAAGGAGCCGGAGAGAAGTAACCGAGGTATATATCCAGAAAATTATTTTACAGAAAATTACTGAATCATTACCTATGAAACGTCAGGGACGTTGCTGAATAAGTATACTGGAGAGGAACAGCATCATCACGCCGCAGCATGTTATTGTTTTAGACAGGTCTGAGCATCCTGTACTCCAAAAACTGCAGTGATATTAGACAATTGTGTGTGTAGGATTAATTACCTGTCCAAGAGAAAACTGGCAACTTGAGCGTCACTTTGAAAACCTTTTTCCTCCATCAGTGACTTCCATCGTGTAAATGCCGTGCCAATGTTGATCCGTGTTTTTTGCCGTTTCTTGTCACGCTTGCGTTTATTCTCGTCGTGTTTCCGCTTCTTAGATGACGGGGGTTCGGTGTCCGCCGCTTTTCGTTGTGATACAGAGTAGGCATGATCCTCCATTCGTCTGATGTTTGGCCACACAGTGCCAAACAGTTTGCAAAGTCACTCACGCCTGCCGCCTTGTTCACCTTTCTTGTTACTGAGGCGCAGTATACCTGCTTCTTCTTCTTCTTCTTTGGTTTCAGGCAGACTAAACGCTTCTCAGGCATAATACTGCCATCTACTGTTCAGTACCGTCTCAGTTCATCTCTCTCAACTTGCCGTAGTTATTTTTGAGCGTCATGGGAGATCTCGCAATCGCTAGTTTGTTGCCTCTGCGCTTGCCGTAGCGCAAAGATGTCAGCCTCCATGGCTGCGAGACCCGCTCCTATGTAATTATAAATAACGAATTCTAAGGCAACGCAAATATTATGGTTAAAAGGCTGAGCTCATAGGTGATGATAAATAACATAGTTATGTATAATATATTAAATTTCTGACTTTATATCCCTGTAATTATTACACACTGTAGCTTTAAATCAAGACTAAAAACACATTTGTTTAGGATTGCCTTCCACTGTTCTAGTTAAACAATTCAACTAAAACATATTTTCTTTAGTCCAACTGTTTTTAATACTGTTTTTTGTTTCTGCATTTTTTATTTTATTTATTTCTTTTCTTTATCTTTTCCTACTTGCTTTGATTCTGTTTTATCTTCCTGTATTTTAATCATGAAAAGCACTTTGCATTGTCTTTGTACTGAATTGTGCTATACAAATAAATTTGCCTTGCCCTGCCTTACTAGCGACGCAGGTGTGTATTAGCATATACAGTTTGCACCATAATAGGAAAACTCATCTGCAATAGCCACCATTTTGAAAGCAATGCAGTTATCTTGAGACAAATATTGCAAAACTAAGAAACACTGCATGGAAATATATAAAACTAAACAAAGCAAAACCCCCCCTCAAAAAAACATTTACACTAAAATAGTCCCAAAAGGACTAGTTTATACTGTTTAAATGACCAAAATAAATTTTAGGTACAGTTACACTTAAAGTGTATTTCAGCACCTATCATTGAAAAATGACAAACAGTAATGTTAGGAAAAGCATCCCATCTCTGGTCCTTTTGCATTTAATGATCACCTCAAACATGCTGTTGAGATTAAGTCTACTCATCTAATAATGTTAATATTTAGTCTTAATTTTTTTCCTGACCCAATAAAAGAAACAAGAAAAAAACAGCTACGTTGTATAAAACTAATCCTATACACATTTATATTCAGCTAGCCTCTCTACTTCAAGAGTAAGTTTAGGAGATTTGTAAACAGGATTTGAAAAAGATGAAAAATAATCAATAACTGAGTCATTTCTTCTGTCTGTCAAATATTTTCTTTTTCCTCAGCTCCTCTAAGGATAAATGAATAACAAACTACACCCTAAAAACCCTTGTTTTATTCTTATGTTTTGTTTTGGGATTTTTTTCTTTGCATGGTGGCCGTCTCATCCTGCCAGCTGATGGCAGAACCATACGGTTAAATCATCTGTTTGGTAATGCAATTTGTGTCAGATGAGAGTTCAATTTTGAAGCACAGCTAGCAATAAAGTAACCTGCATTGCTCACATGCATACCAAAGTAAATAATAAAATGTTGGATGAATATTAAATGTCACATCTGATTCGGGCTGAGAAGTGCAACATTTTACCTGGATCCTCAGATCTGGATAGATGATGGTGGGTTTATACAACAGAGTTTAACATGTAAATGTGACTTGAAAGAGTTGTAGAATATGCATAGAGCTATTGCCTTGGGAGGTTTGATATTTTCATTTTTCAAACAGCTGGTAATCACCGATATTTAAGAGGAAAATGCAAACGGTAGATAGAAAGCTTTTTTAGTTGGAGAAATTTGCAATAAAATCACAGTTTCAATATACATTCAAAAGATTTTTTCTCTATATTGGCTTGTGATGAGTAATCCACCTGCCTAAAGCCTAATCCCACCTCTCACCTATTCATCCCCTAAAGATAGGACCCAACCCCCTCATAACCCTGTAGGTATTATGATGGATGAATGGACGGCAGGTGGATGAAATTACAAGACAACAGCTTCAATTATTTTGCATAAAATTTGGAACAAATTCAGTAAATCCTTTTCCAATCCATCACAATCAAGCCACATTATAAATACACTATCTAAAAGTTGCCAAAAGATGCCCAGCTCATTTCAGAAGGCTTTACTGGTTTAATCATCATATTTTTCAGTAAGCTGTGTTTTCTACCTTTAATTTGTTATCTTAAGGTAATTAAGAATTTGAGCTTCTTGTCTGTTTAACAATTTGTTCTACAGCATTTTTGCACCATATGTCTTTGCACTGCTCTGAACTTCCATATCAATGCGTTTTGCACCATGTGTTTCTCCCACGATGTTTATATTTAATCACTGCTGCACTATATGAAATTGAAATATTCATTTCACTGCTAAGCTGCTGCTTATTTACAGGTGCTGGTCATAAAATTAGAATATCATGAAAAAGTAGATTGATTTCAGTAATTCCATTTAAAAAGTGAAACTTGTATATTATATTCATACATTACATACAAACTCATATATTTCAGATGTTTATTTTGTTTAATTTTGATGATTACAAATGACAACAAATGAAAATCTCAAATTCATCATATCAGAAAATTAGAATATTGTGAAAAGGTTCAAAATTGATGGCCCCTGGTGCCACACTCTAATCAGCTAATTAACTCAAACCACCTGCAAAAGCCTTTAAATGGTCTTTCAGTCTAGTTCTATAGGCTACACAATCATGGGGAAGACTGCTGACTTGACAGTTGTCCAAAAGACGACCATCGACACCTTGCACAAGGAGGGCAAGACACAAAAGGTCATCGCTAAAGAGGCTGGCTGTTCACAGAGCTCAGTGTCCAAGCACATTAATAGAGAGGCGAAGGGAAGGAAAAGATGTGGTCGAAAAAAGTGTACAAGCAAGAGAGATAACCGCACCCTGGAGAGGATTGTGAAACAAAACCCATTCAAAAATGTGGGGGAGATTCACAAAGAGTGGACTGCAGCTGGAGTGAGTGCTTCAAGAACCACCACACACAGACGTATGAAAGACATGGGTTTCTGCTGTCGCATTCCTTGTGTCAAGCCACTCTTGAACCACAGACAGCGTCAGAAGCGTCTTGCCTGGGCTAAAGAGAAACAGGACTGGACTGCTGGTGAGTGGTCCAAAGTCATGTTCTCTGATGAAAGTAAATTTTGCATTTCCTTTGGAAATCAAGGTCCCAGAGTCTGGAGGAAAAGAAGAGAGGCACTTCATCCACGTTGCTTGAAGTCCAGTGTAAAGTTTCCACAGTCAGTGATGGTTTGGGGTGCCATGTCATCTGCTGGTGTTGGTCCATTGTGTTTTCTGAGGTCCAGGGTCAACGCAGCCACATACCAGGAAGTTTTAGAGCACTTCATGCTTCCTGCAGCTGACCAACTTTTTGGAGATGCAGATTTCATTTTCCAACAGGACTTGGCACCTGCACACAGTGCCAAAGCTACCAGTACCTGGTTGAAGGACCATGGTATCCCTGTTCTTAATTGGCCAGCAAACTCTCCTGACCTTAACCCCATAGAAAATCTATGGGGTATTGTGAAGAAGAAGATGCAATACACCAGACCCAACAATTCAGAAGAGCTAAAAGCCACTATTAGAGCAACCTGGGCTATCATAACACCTGAGCAGTGCCACAGACTGATCGACTCCATGCCACGCCGCATTACTGCAGTAATACAGGCCAAAGGAGGCCCAACTAAATACTGAGTGCTGTACATGCTCATACTTTTCATGTTCATACTTTTCAGTTGGCCAACATTTCTATAAATCCTTTGTTTTTATTGGTCTTCAGTAATATTCTAATTTTCTGATATGATGAATTTGAGATTTTCATTTGTTGTCATTTGTAATCATCAAAATTAAACAAAATAAACATCTGAAATATATGAGTTTGTATGTAATGTATGAATATAATATACAAGTTTCACTTTTTAAATGGAATTACTGAAATCAATCTACTTTTTCATGATATTCTAATTTTATGACCAGCACCTGTATTTATAAAACGAAATTTCTTTTTGTAAACACTGTTAATACAAAATGACAATAAAAGTTCTCTGAGTCTTAATTTATGTCTGTCTGACCAGATCTCTTCCTGGTCTAATGAGATGTACATGTACAAAACTAAAGATAAAAGAGAGTTGGCTCCCTGCTTCTCCCTTTGACTGATAAATTCTTACATAGTAGCTCCGCCCTGCTTACAGCAGAGCTTTGCTTTGTCTGACAGGACGGTAGCGTTGTTGCCAATTGCATGTAATTTCATGGTCGACTTTGCTTCTGTTTTGGCTATGGTTCTGTTCAATTGAGTGCTTTCAAGTTTTGTGTTTGCATCTAATTGAAGTTGAAAGTTAAAATAAATATAAAAAAGAAGGAATACCTCTTTCATTAAAAAACAAACAAATAAACTTCCACAAATAATGGCTTATCATAAAGACATTAAATTCAGGCTCTGCTTGGCCTTCTTCAGCAAATCAGAGGTATTCATGCTCCAAATAATGAACTCCCTGATATAGACTCCAAGAAAGTAGAAATTAACCATCCTATCCACACATCGGATCTATGGAAAAATGCTTGTTCATATTTTCTATAATCAGTGATAATAACCTTGGTGTTGGAGTGTATGAAATTGTACTCTGTGCACCTCAGTGTCCCTCATCCTCATAGGCATAATTATACTCCTTAGAGATGAGCCCCGTCACTGTAGTTTCATCTGTAAACTTGAACAGAAGTAGAACCAGAAAAGGTGGTTCAACACACAACCTTGTAGATAGGTGAAGTATGCTGGGGACTGAGTCGCAGTTTGTCCACAAGCCTGATGGTTTTAAATGGTGACCTATGGTCTACATAAAACCTTAGTGTATCCTTAGTGGATGTATTAGTCCTTTAAGGAGACAGGTGGATGTTGACACTTTTTTGGGGGAGTGAAAGGATGTGAGCCCTGAACAGCATTTTAAAGCATTTCAAGACCACTGGTGTCAGTGCCACTGGCCAGTAGTCATTGAGACTGGGAATGTGGGGTTACCTTGGCACAATAGGGTGATCGATTTCAGATATGATGCGACAGTGGATTGGGACAGGCAAAGGTAAAAAAAAAAAGCCTATTGAGAACTTCTGCCAGCTGCTTAGCCCAAATTCATTGGCAAATGTCACAGTCAAGTACAGCAGCCTTCCTAAGCTGCATAGCCAAGAGAAAGTGCCTCACTTCAGCAACCATCAGCCTGATGCTGTGTTTCATATACAATGGTTATATGATTCTAAAATAATTTGAATACAGATCAGATCTGTTTAACACTTGGACTAATAATCACCTTTAAATGTCTGTATGATGTCACATAGACTCACCTCACTGACATATATGGCCACGTCTTCTTCTTCATCTGTCCTGTAGCAAAGGGTAAGGCCAAGTTTTTCTTGACTGCTGAGACGACAAAGTTCAACCTCCTACGGAGAAAAAGGGAAGAATAATTTAATAAATCAGCTACCAGCTGGGATGAGTAAACATTTTCTAAACACATTTGAATTGCAGTTAAATTGACATAGAACTGCGCCTAGTCATGCAAGTATTTGATCATTAAATAACTTTAAAACATGGGTAATTTTCTTCAGAGGGTTCCATAATTATTAGACATTATTAGACATCCTCAGATTTTACAATGTTAATTATACTTGTAGCTAGAGTATGTACATTTGAAACAGATTTGATGTATTTTTTATGTCAATGTTTTATCGTTAAACTGTATCATTATTTTACATTGTAATAAAACTTGATTAACTGTAGATGTTAATCCTATTATATTATTTTATTCCAATGGTTTGCCAACATCAAGCCACTTTAGTTGAACTCTGCACTTTCACTTTTACCACAACAGGGGTTGCAGCAAAACACCAAACAGCACTAGTCCCTTTCCCATTTCCAAACCTCTGAAACATATCAACGGTGTTTGAGGGAATCAAGTGTGAAATGGCCTTCCCTCCCAAGGTCTTCATTAGAGCAGAAACAGAACGTCTCTCAGCAGCAGGAGCGAAGTGGTTGAGTGGAGAGGACGATGGAGCAGGGTAGAGAGAAATGAGGTGGTTGCAAGAACTCTGGCAGGACTCACAGGGGTCTCGTACAAAGAGAAAAATCCATTTTGTCTGTGACAAGTGTAGGTTGGCTGGTTACATGTGTTAGATATAGCATTGCTTTAGGTATGGGATGGAGAAAGGGGAAGTGACGGGATGAAGGAGAGAAGGAGGAATAGGTCAACACTATGTTGGCTTTTACTTCTTTTGCGGTTTATCATTTCTGGCTTCCTAGAGACACAACATTTTGGCTAGAATACCATTCTTTAAATCTCCTTTAATACATCTTTCTGTGCTTTAAAGGTGACCATCCATAGGTAAGAATAGACTGATGATGTTTATTCATTTCAGGAACTTTATTAAGAAAGTAAAACTCATATAATGCCTAAAAAATGTGATGCTCTATGAGAGAAGAAGAAAGAAGTAGGCAGAAAACAAGCAAAAAAAAAAGAGAAAAGAGTGATTTTCATATTATTGTAAAATGTGCAAGTTGGAGATTTAAAATAACCACTCAGTCCTCTAAAATATAGTTTTGGAGGTTTTACATGGTAAACATTGTTTTTAAAGTGAACCTGTTTTGAGTAAAATCTCAATCTGCAAATTCTCTGTTTTGCTCCACATACACACTCTATTCTGTGACCTATGATATATTTATGACTCAAACCATTACAGATTCTCCTCACCAGTATACGATCTACTAACCCTAACAACATAGGATTTATACCTAAGCCTAATGTCACCAAACTAATAACTAAACCAAAAGAAATCTGCGGTTATAAAAAGTGTAGCGCCCCCTTAGGTCAGAATATGATGTAAAACCTTTATTTCTACCTGCATCCCTGCCCAGACTGACCAACTTTTCAAAAGTTTACAGCTTTTAGCCTGCTGGAAGGTAAAAAAAAAAAAGTAACTTAAAAGAAACCCCATTGCTTTGACACAAAACACTTTCCGTAAAGTCATGTGATTGTATGAGTTTTGAAGAGTATATAAATAAATCAACAAATCTGTAATGAACTACAGCAAAGATAAATTATAACAGCAGAGCACCAACGACCCCCCCCCCCCCCCCCCAACCTGGAAATGAACAATACCACAACACAGCATTTCTTAGTTCATCTGTATTTACTTCCAATACATCTTCTCAATATTACTATTTTAAAAAACACATTTAATAAGAGGAGAAATTAAAAACTTGAAAAAAAAAATATAAACGGTATATAATTTTCCACAAACAATGGTACATATACTTTCAAACAATAAGATATGTTATCTGTCAAGAGGAAATTTGACAACAAATTTTTAAGGTATTAAAATTACGAAACAATTAAATTAAAATTACTAAAAGTGTACTACAGAACTAAGACTCATCCTATAGATGTAGCTAAAATCAAGTTTTTAAATCCCTTTTTACAGCCCTCTATACATAACTGTTGATGGGTATACAGTAGATAAGTCTCTCTATTTATAGTTATCTAGATATGTAAATCTCTCATAGATTAAAACCTATATAACTGCTCTCTTTCAGACTTTTCAGGTCTTTACCTCATATTAAATGATCAATTACTGAAAAATCTGTAACACTTTAAGGGTTAATTTCAGATCCAGTTGCAATCGTGATGCAACTTCCAGGCATCGAAAGCATTGATATTTACCAGATTTGTAATTTCTCTAAATTTTTAACTTAAATATTGTTTGTGTTGTTACAGTAAAGTTTGTGTTGTAATCTTTTGGACATTTCAATGATGTCTGTCAGTGCAATGCACTGATATAACACAAATATCATAGAAAAACTGCATTTTGTTGGCATGAACTCTCTGTTTGCAAATACTTTTAAGGAAACTAAAATATGCAAAAGTATTGAAAATCACAGCTTTTGTTACCACCCAGTTGGCTTCAAATGTGATTTTAAAGATTCTTTAACAGCTGAATTTTCCTTACAGTGCTGTGTACAGTGCCCACATTCACATACTTATTAATCCTTTTTTTTATTTTAAAAGGTTGACGCCCTTGCAAACCTTAGACTCTCTAAGTATTTGTAAATAATTCAAAATGACCCTGACTGGAATTGCTCCTGCCTTTGCAACAGTTTGGTCACAAATTCTTAATGAATAAGAATGTTTGTTCAGATTTTTGATAGATAAACAAAAATTTAACACAGAAATGCGGCACGACTGATAAAGGATGGGGAGTAAATTCATTCAAATACAGTACTTGGTTGGGCATCCTTTTCAATCAATTGCAGCGTCTCTACAGCTTTGCATGGAGAGGCTGAACCTGTGGGCCTGCCCAGCTCATTCACATTGTCATCTCTGATGCTACCCTTGTCAATGGTTAAGACATATTGTCAGGGGGGCTTGCTGTCGAAACAAGCATACCAAAATGTGAAACCGAAAGCCAGCAATGTAAACACACACCCACTTTTTGAAGCAAATCATTGAGATTAACAAAATTATTTATGAAGAAATTTCTATTTTCTTTACATGAAACTTTAAATTTGAACAAAACGCTCAAATAGGTCATTCAAGTGTCTCTGAATTTAGGTTGCTGCAGCTGCAAACTCAACTACAAACACTTATCCTCAGAAGTAAATCTGTGCATAAATACAACTCTTAGCTTAAGTACCCTTAAATGATCATGCATATTTGTAAACTGAAAAAAAAAAGATGAGAGATATCATCTGGCTGTTATGGAACATTGATAGACACAGTGGTACTTTATCCCAGCTTATATCCCAGTTGGAGATCGGCCTGTTTTCCAGTGTGGTCCTGTTTCTCTGGCCGTGACTGAGTGGATGTGCTCTCTTCGTCCTCTGGCATGGGAGCTGCCTTGGAGCTCGTCTGCCTGGCTGTGTGTTTCCTGGACGGGGCCGCCTTTTACAGCTGCTTTTTGTATCTCTGTTTCTGTCTCCTTGAACCCCAGTCGGCCTCAGCAGATGGCCGCTCACACTGAGCCTGGTTCTGGTGGAGGTTTCTTCCTGTTAAAAGGGAGTTTTTCCTCTCCACTGTCGCTACAAGCATGCTTAGTGTGGGGGATTGTATTTGAGTCAATGAGTCAATGCAATCAACTGGTTTTCCTTAGATAGAAAACTTTGTATCAATTTGACTGTATGATCTGGTTGAACTGTAAAGTGCCTTGAGATGACATGTGTTGTGAATTTGGCGCTATATAAATAAACTGAACTGAACTTATAAATAAGGACATAAGTTAGGAAAAACCACATGTTAAGTCTAAAAAATAGTCATCATCTTTATTAAAGATTTTTTTTAATTGATGGGGTTGGTAGCTGGATTATTAAAGCAGCCTCAGAGGCATTAAACCCGTTGTAGCTGTTAATTGGAGGTACTATGTACACATCTTGCATGCTAATATAACGCGTATAGGGATATCAGTGGGACATACTGAAATTTCTAGAGGTGTCTTTGAGGTGTCTCTAAAAATAAACTCACACGAATTAGGTGTTGGCTGCGAGATTAAGGAGAAGTGAGAGCAGGTGCTGCATGAGCTCTGTCTGCAAAACAAGCCCCAAGTTACTTTATGACTAATTAATAACTGGATGTAGTGCAGGAGACCTTTTGGTAAAATAATCAGGAGAAATAGATTGTTGCAGTGCACATGCTAAATGAAGCACAGTCTGTGTGTATTTAACAATGTGACCCGTTTTTTCTATTAGATGCCTTTTGAGTATTTTTTGCTGTAAGAAAAACTCCCACTCACTTAGATACTATGTAAAAGCATCTGAGCGAGTGCTTCATCCTGAACCATCAAAAACACCTCATCCGATTTCTGTCTCTCTACTATCTCTTTTATATATATATTTTTTTTTTCTCCCTCTGTTTCCTTGCCGAGCTCTCTGCCTCTCAGACAGGAGATTGCAGCGAGTCACGGGACGAGGGCTGACAGTAAATTAATAGCTGGGATGGCGTGATTAAGAAGAAGATTGCTGCCCACCATCAAAGCACATCTGATGCTGTCATGATAATCGTGCCTTTGATTACTGGTAATTGAAAAAGCAGTTGCCAAATGTGTTGATGGCTACCAATGGCAGAATGAGAGGGAAGGCTTTTTTTTTTTTCGAGCCCTGAGTGCTTCACTTCCTCTGAACACACCAAAACAAATCAAGGGGATGGTAACTAACATGGTTCAGTGGCAACACACATCAAGGAGTTTTCTTGAAAAGTATGATGTAGGGCCGTGAAATTGTAGCAATAATAAATGGCTGACAAACTCTAAGAGCCTGAGGGAAGAGCAAAGAGTTTGTTTTTTTTACGCTCCTGTTGGGAGATACAGAAGCAAAATTAAATTATTGTTATAATACCTCAAAACTTGGTCAATACAATTACCTTATTCCCTTTTCTTTTGCAGATTAAAAAAAAACAAGGTTTCCAAATGAAATCCAAATTAAAGCAATGGTTTCATAACATGAATTTCATTCAGATATTTTATGTTGGTCTTTATTTATAATGTCCTTAATGTAAAAGAAATCAAATGGCTCCTAATTTTAAAGATACACAGGATGTTTGCTGATAAGTATAATTGATGTGAGGCTAACAAATCTGTAGCATCTGCATGATGCTATTATGTCAACATAGAACCAACTCTCTGAGGAATGTTTCCAGTACCTTGTTGAATCTATGCCATGAAGGATTAAGGCAGTTCTAAAGACAAAAAAGGACCCAACCTGGTACTCGCAAGGTGTAACTACAGTAGCAGCCATTCAAAATGTCCCTTCCGAGTCAAACACCAGCCTATGGCAGCGCACTTTCCTCCAATTTCCAGCAAAATCCCCTCCAAACTAGAGCTGGAGTGACCCACTCTTGCATATTTTCTTACTCTGACTCCACCTTTTCAGTGAATTACAGGGTTTGACCAGGAGATGACGCTTCTCTTTACATCCAGAATCCAGAATCATGATATAGAGAATATTTTAGTACAAATATTGATGTTTAAAAAGGAATTGTAGGGGACCAGCCAAGGGCCCATAAGGAAAGTGGAGGCAATTTTGAATGGCTACTACTGTAATAAAGAGCCCAGTGAGTGAATATGTTATAACTGTGAAAATCACAGTATTTAGAATTCTCTATGTTTAGGTTTTTTATTTTATTTTAGCCAAAGAGTTAAGAAAGTTCAATTTCCCAGCAAGAATAAATAGCTATTACCAAAAATGTGTTGCTGTTTTTTTAAACATCCTCAAAATAAGATTCAAGTTTTACCAGTGGTGCTGATTAAAACCAGTGAGTTCAAATGCATACCAGCAGTTCTCAACTTCCTACATTGGCATCATCTACACCAGTGTTGTGCATTATTGTTGTTGGTTTGTGTCTTTTCATAAAAAGGTTTGCTCTAGTTCAATCTTTTTCTCAGTCTAAAAAAGCAAACAGCAACGAGCAATAAAAACCCTAAGGTTTTATACCTTAGGCTTTTATTGTAGGTTTTTACCTAATACGATACCTGCCAACCTGATATGTTCTGGCCGACTTAGGACAAACATTACAGAACTGAATAGGGTCAGAACTCCAATCCTTACAGAGTAATTTTTTCAATCCTTTTCCAGTGTTAGGCTTAAATCTGACATAACCTGATTTTAAGTATCTGCAGCCATCCTTAATATTCTAACTGTAAAATCCACTCTGGAAGTGTCATAAAACAACACTCCAGCGTTTTAGGGTGTGATAATCCTTTCACTCAACCAGCCGTCTTGGCTCTGTTTTCATGTCTTCCTCATACTTCATTCAACTTGCTCACATTAATGCTGCCTTTTATCGTACATTAATGCAGGGATGTTTTCTAAATGGGGCTAATTACTGAGTGCTGCACAGTTCACATGATTTGTAGCCACCTGATTGACTTTTAAAAGAAAAGTATTGATTCCGGAAGCTGTAAATGAGTGTAAACAAAGCACCCATAGATGTAGGGATCAACAGTTATTTGCAGACAGCATGTAGCATCCACAGTCCCAATACAAGGACATAATGTGGTTCATATGCAGGCATTTTATGTAGTCCTGCATGTGTGTTGTTCACATTTTAAGAGAGCTTCACAAATGAGTGAACATTGTATGTTATAGTGCTATACAAAGCATACTTAAGACTGTCTCAACTTCATTAACTTCCATTTCCACTGAATTAGTAAATCATATTTCGTTAATTCCTGACTTTGCCATATGATGGCGAAGGGCTTTCTCCCACAGCATTTCCACCTAGCAGAAATATTTTCATGCATCTCTCCTTCAGCAAAAATCTGTTCCATTCAGAAAGAGGCTTTTTAGCTTCGCCTCATTCTCGCTCCAAGCGTTGTGAGCTGTCATACAGTAAGTGGGTCTGCATTAGGGTGCTATACCCCCCTCGGATCATGCATAAAGCTTTGAAGCCTACTGAACATACACATTGTAAAAATGTTTTTTTAATAGCGACGTGCCATAAACAGATACTAAACAGTTCTACATTCTGTATTTGACATTGGAGCCGCAGCAATACGAGTGGGTGAACAAATCTGCTTAGGATGTGAAGAAAAACCGCACGCTTTGTGGTTAGAAACATTCTGCACAAATTCAAATTAAACGCATAGAAGGAGGGAGAGTTGAGCAATCATCATACATCAGAGCAGTCAGAGGCCAGGCACCATGTCTGCTCAGCCATTAGTAACTCTGAACTAAAGAATATTGTACTGCAGCAATAAGCAGGCAGTGAGTGTGTTGATCCCTTCCTGTCAAGTCAGTACATATTGATTTTTAGAGGTGTTTGTTTATTTGTTTGCTGGATTACATGAATAGTTAAGAACAGGTTTTAAATAACTTTTTATAGTGTTGCACCGATACTGATACAAGGGTCGGGCGGGGTCTAATCTGACGCCGCCAGATGGATTTGCTCCGCATATCCATCTGGAAACCTTCCGTTGAAGTAATTTTGGGAAGGGCCAAAAATACTGGTTAGCTGATTGGCCTATGTTGGTGATAGACGGGCCAAATAAACCAATCAGATCAACGAAGCATATGACGTACTAACAGAGAGACGATGAAAACACAACCACAAGCAAGGCTACTCTCGCCGAAACCAGTCGGGAGAAGAGCAAAAACATCTTTTCCTCTGAGAAAAGCTTCCAGAGCAGTGTTTTGCTCTTCTTTCAGTGAAGAAATACTCTGTAATTCCAAAAAAACTTGCTCGATAGCCATTTCATCGGCTGAAGCCGCCATGTTCTTTAGACTGAACTGTCGCGCTTCTCGTTGCGTCACACCTCAACCCGCCTCAAAGCCAACGCTGATTGGACGTTCGTTTAGTGAACGGCCCCAAATTTTCTTTAACGGAGAGTCTCCAGACTGATTAGCGAGTGAAACCTTGAAAGCTTGCAAGATCAGGATGGTCTCACGAGGCTAGGTGGGGCCCCGATTAGCACAGAAATTGTGGTATCAGTATTAGCGAGTACCAACAAATAGGGCACGATGCCATTTTGAGAGCCAAATGTTTATTCAGCTATTGTCACCCATTTAAGGTAGGCAATAAAAAGTAGGGATGGAACGGTTTATGAAAACCGTCCGAACCGTTCGGTTCGACTGTCTCGGTTCGGTTCGCGTGTGTCGCGTTCGGTTCATGCGCTGCTCCTTTTTCTCATAGGTGAAGCGTGTACACTCCAGAGCAGAAGGTGGCGGTACTGCTACCAAAGCCAACCACCAGTAGTAAACAAGAAGAAGCGAAGCAGCGTAGCTGGGTGTAGCAGAAAAAAATCAGTTGTTGTGGAGAATTGTGTGGGTATGGCGAGTGGGAAAGAACAGGAGTTGGAAGATGCGCCAGCAGCACTTTATAGGTCTGCTGTATGGGAGCGCTTTGCATTTAGAGTGACCTACGATGACGGCGGAAAAAAAGTTGTGGATAAAAACAGTGTGCAAGCATTGTGCAACACGTTTTGTTTATGCTAACAGCAACACAACAAACATGTCCGGCTAACAATCAACATATACTGAACCGAACCGAAAACCGTGACCATGAAACTGTGAACCGAACCGTGGATTTTGTGAACCGTTCAACCCCTATCATATATATACACATCAATTTCAAACAGACGGTATTAGCATCGGCCAATACTGCACAGCCAGGTATCGGGTATTAATATCAGGGCAAAAAAATGGTATCAGTGCAACACTAACTTTTTACCAGAGGTGCATCTCATGCCAAGGAACAATTCATCAAAATCTGGTAATGATCCAGATCATGAGGTAGTTTTACCTATGTAAGTCGTAATATGCAGTAATATTTGCTACTTGGCTGAGGTTTGTACTGTGATAGTGCTTTCCTAGTTGTTAATCATTCTCAAGGCAGCAGACCTGTGGTTAAGATCAAAGCATGCTAATGTTTTAGAATTGACCAGTCTAATTCTAGAACTAAATCTGGTTTAATTTTTAAGAATTTTTTGTACGTACAGATTCTCTTCAGCATTCTGGTTAATTTTATGCAATTTTGAAAAAGACAAATGGATATAATTTTAATCTCTAAATGTATAAAGCTGTATGAAACATACCTCTCAAGGACTGTGGCTGCACTTGCAACGAAAGGTGAATTTTCAGAAAAGCTTTTTTTCTGATTAAAAGCATTCATCCTTCACCTTTCAATTAACGATGTGTGCTACTTTGTGTTGTTGTCATAAAAATTTAAAGACTATGTTTTCATGCGGCTAATTAAACGTTTGCAAAACTTCAGCATTCTTTGGCCATCACATCAGATTTCTGCTCCTACCTCATACTCAAGCTCCTCTGTTCTCTCTCCTTCAGCCGGGACCGGGGAGAGGTAGTCCGTACCCTCGTAGTAATCTGGATCTATTGTATGAATGGAATGACAGCTGTCAGGGCAGAAAGAGACAGAAAGAAAGATAAGTAAGACAAAGACAAAACAAGTTTAAAATAGAAAACTGGTGGAATAATAATAATAATTCTTTTAGTCATTTGTCAAACTCAAAACCTCAAAGTGACAACATTTTGTTGCTTTTGTCTCAACTGCACAATGCAGAATAATAGATATGTTAAAGACTTCATGCAGCTGTAGAACATGATAAAAGCACAGCCTCTTATTATTAACAGTGTAGCCACACTATGTAATTTGCTTCATGCTTTTGACAGACGAACCCCCAAGACTGTACAAAGTAATTCTATTATCCCTTTTTCAATCACTTAACAAAACTCTATTGTGGGGGTCTAACAGAATGTGTGGCAGCTTCAGCACCACCCAGGATAATGACCGTAAATAAATAATCACAAAAAATGAAAAATAAAACTGTTAGCGTTAAATAAGGAGAGGAATGTGTCCTATCCAAAAAGACAGCTTACTTATAAATTTAACATTTGGAAATGTCAGAATTTTTCCTACTAATTATGTTTTTTTATGAGGAGATTGAACATTAAACAATAAAATAACAAATGAAACAATCTAGCCTCAACATATTAGTATCTATATGAAGTTGGCTGTTTATTGGATGGTGCGTCTGAGCCCAGAACAGGAAAAAGAAAATGTTGCTTTATGAGGCACGTTGATTAAGTTTGGACTCAGCCTGTGGCTGTTGCTTTTAGTTGCATTTTTTTGTTTTTTTAATTGACCATTTTACTTTAATCACCCTGTAAACATTACCTGAGTCCAAAGTGAACCTCTAAGCAGCTCCAATTACGGCTAAATGCCCCCCTTGGGAATTCTGGTTTTACGACACATACATAAATCCATAGTGTTTCTGATTGGTTCATGTACACTAGTTTATAGCTAGAATCCAGCCTTGTTCATATTGGTGAGTTTTATTGATCTTTTACACAGATGGAGAATCCAGCTGGGCTTTTATCTCTGCATATCTAACAAAGCCCCAAATTACAAATGATGACATGCACACATTTTAAAAAGTTTATTGTGCTTAGAAGTAATCATATAAGCTGGATGTAGATTAGAATTGAATTTCCCAATCTTCCTCTGCTTTTGTGATGTTCGATCCCTTGAGGTGAAGCCCAGATATTTCTCTATGCTTAATGTTCCTTTTTCAAAGCTTTCTGCTCTTGTGAGATGAACCAAAAATAAACTCAAATGAGGAAGACAGAATAATGATCAAATTCATTTTTTGTTGTTTGAGGAAAACCCTCTCTTGACACTTTGAATATCTTTCAATTCCTTGGCTCTTTTTCCACACATAACAAGAGAAGAAAAAATTTGTGAATTGAAACTCTTTCAAACGCTTACAATTCGAAATGTGAACTCTTTAGATTTTGTTTTTACATTTTACAACACGAATAGTTGAGATAGATTTCCATAGAATAGTCCAGAACATACAATCCCTCTAAAACAGACTGAAGGTCTTGTTTGTCAAAGGGAAATCGAAGGAAATGTGTTAAATTAGGTATTAATGTATTAATCGTAAAACAAACCTATGCTTCTGTCTATGCATGTAAAGTAAAGCTTAAGCTGATTTAAAGGATAATCTTCATAAGGTGATTTAAATCCTTTACCTGTATATATAAAATGTATCCATAGGAAAAAGCCTAATCTAAGTGGAGCTTGGTTAAGAAGAAAAAGCTGTCGGCTCCAGAAATCTCAGAATATCATACAGATCACTCTTTGGCTGTGAATTCTTTACATCCTTTATCTGAGGGCAATATTATTACTGTATTACTTCTTTTTTATTATTATTTTTTTTTTAAAATATTTTTGTTAGTTTTTTGTGACAATTTCTTAGGCTGAATTTGGATTTTTTTCATACTTTTAGAGAATCAACTGGTTTGTTCAAGTATTTATATCAAGGGTTTAACATATTTCTTAACAACTTCTGATAAATAAGAGAGCAGGTTTATACTAAATAAAAACATAGAAGTCTAACACCAATACGTGAACAAAAAAAAAAACGAAAAAAAAAACAACAGAACAGAAGAGGTCAATGAAAGGTGTTAATTAAATCCTCCACTTTCTGTTATGTAGAAATGACTTTACCCTATAAGAATGCTTATAATTAAAGTTGATTTTTGTAAAACTTTTAATTAAAATAAGCCCTTTGTGAGTCTGATATTTAGACAAATATCAAACACCTTTACTCTACCATAGGGATTTACCAAACTGATATTTCTCTTTTTCTTTAAACTCCTCTGTAAAAATGTATTGTTTCAATAAGGAAGTTGGAGTAATTCTTAGATCTGCAAAAAATAAGCTGCGCTACCTGCCATAGCTGAAATTCATGCATTTGGGGGGATGAAGGGTGTTAACGTCAAGCCCTGACTGCAACCTACATGTCTTAGAGAGAACTTATTTGTTCATTTGTTTTGCTGCAGTTCATCTTTGCAAATCAGTATAAAATACAGTATAAACTGCTGTAACAGTAACTAAAGCTGTCCCATTTAAGGGGAACTGTAATTACTTATAAACCCAATCCTGCTGAGTTGCAATGAAACTATTAGTTTTTTCACAAAATCTAATATTTAGTTGGTTGAATATCCATGTCAAGTTAAACTGTGATGTGGATCAATCCTTTACATGTTTATAAGATCAAACTTTAGAGGTCACCATGTGTATTCATTAACACATAACAGCCTGCTGACCAACTGTCTTTTCTTATCTAATTAAACTATTTTAATTAAGCTAATTTCTCTGCATTCTTTACCTTCTGAGTCTCGGGCAAAAAGATGGGAAAGACATCAGAGAACCATTTATCAACGAAATCTATATTTGTAGAAATCCCATCGGAAGCTTGTTATCCCATTTATTTATTTATTTTCTTTGTATTTGTAATGTAAGTCACACAAACAATGTTGTTTCTCCTTCATGGTTTAATGATGTCTTTTCCTATTTTTTCACATTAATTAGACTGTCAAAGACAAAGTCATACCAGTGAAGCAACAACAAATTGTTTTCCTCAGTATGGCAGTCAACCAAATGAATAAATAAAAGTGAAATGGAATTTATCATAATAATAAGAAATCACTGAACAGTTATAATCACTGTTACTCGTAATATCTATTACATCTGTGAAGGAAAGGCTCAGGATTTGTCTCAATGTCAAATTATTTTGTTAACTTTCAACATTTAAAAAACAACAACTTACCAAAGTGCTTCACAATTACACGAAAATCCTTAATAGAACAAAAAAAAAAAAAAAAAAAATTGGAAAGATTTCCATGGACCAATTGCAATTAAAGTCAAAACCCAGGGAAAAAAGTTGAGTTTATAAAAAGCATTGAAATGATTCTATGCTATGAGCAGAGCAGATATGTAGATAGTTATATCACAGTCTTAGAGCAGCCGCAGTGAATGCTCAATAACCTCAACGTTTTAACTTTGATCTCAAAACGTCAAGGAGAAACGGGCAAGCTGACTGGAGTTCTCTCAAAGGTGTGTGGATCTTGATGAGATCAAATAGATAGGATGGGGCTACACCATTTAGATCTCTAAAGGTAAGCAATAAAATTTTCAAATCAATGTGTGAGCAGAGGGGAACCCAATTAAGACATAACTCCAGAAGGCTAGACTGATATCTTTATGGTTCTTTGTACCAGTTTTAGGATGAGCTGCAGCATTTTGAAGCATTTATAAATGTTATAAGGATGATAGATCTAGTCTGACATACAGACGCTTCTATCAGTGAGCCCCAGGGCAGCTGGGGCTACAATGTAGTTTGCCACCATCAGTGTGTCAGTGTGTGTGTGAATGACTAAATTTAGTATAAAGGGCTTTGACCAAGTCTCCTGACTTGAAAAAGTGCTATATACACTCACCGGCCACTTTATTAGGTACCCCATGCTAGTAACGGGTTGGACCCCCTTTTGCCTTCAAAACTGCCTCAATTCTTGGTGGCATAGATTCAACAAGGTGCTGGAAGCATTCCTCAGGGAGTTTGGTCCATATTGACATGATGGCATCACACAGTTGCCGCAGATTTGTCGCCTGCACAGCCATGATGTGAATCTCCCGTTCCACCACATCCCAAACATGCTCTATTGGATTGAGATCTGGTGACTGTGGAGGCCATTTGAGTACAGTGAACTCATTGTCATGTTCAAGAAACCAGTCTGAGATGATTCCAGCTTTATGACATGGCGCATTATCCTGCTGAAAGTAGCCATCAGAAGTTGGGTACATTGTGGTCATAAAGGGATGGACATGGTCAGCAACAATACTCAGGTAGGCTGTGGTGTTGCAACGATGCTCAATTGGTACCAAGGGGCCCAAAGAGTGCCAAGAAAATATTCCCCACACCATGACACCACCACCACCAGCCTGAACCGTTGATACAAGGCAGGATTGATCCATGCTTTCATGTTGTAGACACCAAATTCTGACACTACCATCCGAATGTCGCAGCAGAAATCGAGACTCATCAGACCAGGCAACGTTTTTCCAATCTTCTATTGTCCAATTTCGACGAGCTTGTGCAAATTGTAGCCTCAGTTTCCTGTTCTTAGCTGAAAGGAGTGGCACCCGGTGTGGTCTTCTGCTGCTGTAGCCCATCTGCCTCAAAGTTCGACGTACTGTGCGTTCAGAGATGCTCTTCTGCCCACCTTGGTTGTAACGGGTGGTTATTTGAGTCACTGTTGCCCTTCTATCAGCTCGAACCTGTTCTCCTCTGACCTCTGGCATCAACGAGGCATTTCCACCCACAGAACTGCCGCTCACTGGATGTTTTTTTATTTTTCGGACCATTCTCTGTAAACCCTAGAGATGGTTGTGCGTGAAAATCCCAGTAGATCAACAGTTTCTGAAATACTCAGACCAGCCCTTCTGGCACCAACAATCATGCCACGTTCAAAGTCACTCAAATCACCTTTCTTCCCCATACTGATGCTCGGTTTGAACTGCAGGAGATTGTCTTGACCATGTCTACATGCCTAAATGCACCTAGTTGCCGCCATGTGATTGGCTGCTGGTGTACCTAATAAAGTGGCCGGTGAGTGTAAGTACAGGCCTTTTATAATTTACAACACAGAGTTGCAAAAGTGCAGTAAAGAAGGGATAACGACAATAATTTTCTTGAGATACGGTTTTGTTTATTTTAGTAAGTCATAGTTGGAAAAAGCTTGATTTAAGGGAATCATGAAAAACAGCATGATTCCCAAATTCAGTTCAGTTTATTTATATATTGCCAATTCAAATCACATTTCATCTCAAGGCACTTTACAGAGATAATTCAACCATATCGTACAGTCAGATTGGTTCAAAGCTTTCAAAGGAAAACCAGCTGACTGCTTCGACTCATTGACTCGACAGCAACCCCTCACACGTCATTGTAGAGTTTAAGGAATGACTTAAACCAGGATAGACCTGTACCCTTAATACTGACATGTTTCACCTGAATAACAGAATATAGAAATCCATAGCATCAAAGTCTTCTGATGAATTTAAAACACGCAAAAAATGACAAAGGTTAATTAGTCTACTGCTAAAATGTTTCCTATTTCTAGTGTTTCATTAAAACTCTTTAAAGGGAAGTTTCTATGATAGCTGAAAAACAGAGATAGGAATGGCTGCAGCATGGAACCCTATCATAACACTCGTATAGTGAACTAAAAGGTACATGGAGATGTTATTTGACTCTAACTTTTGTATCTATTTGTCAGTAACTCACTCGGAAGGATAACAACGACCTTCTGGTATACTGTTATTATATATTTTTTTAAGCTTTAGCCCTTTGTGTATATCTACAATAAGAACAAAGGTATAATACTGTGCATATGCACAGGGGATAAACAAGGAAGAAGTCTTCTGCAGATTAGCCATAAGTGACAACCAGGAAATGTGGAAATAATAAAGGTCCAAGATCCAGTATGAAAAACATAAAAAAATAAAAATAAATAATTGATTCCAAGAGGGATAAGACTTCTACACAGTTCAGAACACAGTGAACTTAGAGTGGTAGCTAAAGCTGACGAGGCATTCAGATGTGGCTACTATTTAAATAGGTTGTATGATTAAACGTCTTATTAATACCCCCCCCCCCCCCCCCCTCCATTCTCTGATAGAAAACTCTGTGGAGGACTGACTTCAACTTGTTGCTTTAGAACAGTTTATTTAATTAATATCAGTTGGTCTTCGAACAAACCAAGCTGTTGTTTTTCGCAAGGCATTGCAGGAAAGTCCGATATTTAATAATCACCATCTTGCCTTTATGAGAGTTTTGTGGTACTGCAAGCACTCAGCACCATGTCTGCTCATCGCAACCGCTGCTGACTTCTCTTTCTCAAAAAGGATTAAATAAAACACTATCAGGATGGACACTTGTGTAATATAACCTTATTCCATGATGAATAAATTTTTTTTTTTTTTTTTTTGTATCAGCATATAACCTTACTATACACCTTTAAGCCACACCTTCCAAGTTCTTAGCTTTTCAAATAAAATTTCATGTTGCATATCATTATCACTTGGCTTATTTTGGAATGATACAAATGTTGGAAATTACACCAAATTCTGAGACGCATCACAAGCCCCTTTCCCAATGAAAGACCTGGGATTCATCAGGATCCATCAGATTATTTCCCCATTACTTCAAATATTTTTCTTTAAACTGTGACGAAAGAGTTTATAATTATCACCTACACCTACAAGGGATGCTAAATTGCACCTGCAATTTTTTTATGTGTGTGTGTGTGTGCTATAAGTGTGATAGTTGCAGGTGATCTACAAAGATTGCTGTGCAAATGTTAAGATGTGCAAACTGTTTTGGTTTCTGCAATTTAATTGAGCAGCTTGTGCATTCTAAAGGCAAGTGAGAGAGGTCGTAAGAGAAAGATGGGGTTCAAAGTCATGTTGCCCACTTATTGCACACACACACACACACACACACACACACACACACACACACACACACACACACACACACACACACACACACACACACACACACACACACACACACAGTCCCTTTACAAATATCTTGTAACATTTATATGAGTCCTGAGGCTGATGTATGATGTTAACATATGAAAAAAAAAAACTTTCACATCTATCATTGCCTTTCTCAACCTCTCAGCTAATGTGTGCTTGAAATTGTCATTTTGAAAAGCATTCCCCTTATGATGTCATAGGGGGAAACAAGCTGTCCAGAGCGGTCTGTTGGAGCCCAGTGGTGAAGCTATGAACTTCATCTCATGTATTATTCCATGTTTCCCAGGCTTTTTTTATGAACTCTTACTGGTTGTCATGGTTGCGGGTTGTGGATTCATGACAGATCCAAAACAGCTTATCAAGAGAGGCTGAATAAGGAGATTTTCAGTAAAGGCTGCTTACCTAGTCTGTAGGCCTCATTGTTAATGCTTTTTATTTTCTAATGTAGCATAACGTAGCATAACATGGGACCAAACATTTAAAAATATATATATAATTCTATTATTGTCATTGAGCACATTACATGAACAGGCTGCCTTAAAGTGCAATAAACAAAAATTAAATCATAAAAAAATACAATCATGTAAACAGAATTAAATTAGAGGCAATAAAGTCTGGTTTCCACCGAATTAAGCTTTTTATGTGGTGACAAAAAAAGAGATATTAAACATAAGACGGTTTTCTTTGTTTGCTTCCTTCACATTCTCCCATGGGTTTGAATGTCATGAAACAGGTGGAAACATATAAAACATAATCATGCTTCGTTTTTATAGAATGATAGAGGAAAACAACAGAAAAGGGTACAGTATTTTCACTTTCTTTGCTAATCTTCTCTAAAAAAAAAACCTAACAATTTTCCAAAACAACTGGTTTTATATAAACATAACTTTTCCTGCAGCATGACCTTATTTATTAATCATTTTTATAAAACAATTTCATTTTTATTAATCAGTGCTGTGTGTGTCCAATAAAAAACATCCACCAGAAAGGAGTGATATGAAGCAGTAACCTGACTCCGCCATCTCATCTCAACGGAAACCTTCCGTTGAAGTAATTTTGGGAAGGGGCGAAAATACTGGTTAGCTGATTGGCCTATGTTGGTGATAGACGGGCCAAATAAACCAATCAGATCAACGAAGCATATGACGTACTAACAGAGCGACAACAAAGAGGAGCCAATTGATAGATCAAACTCTTGCCGAAACCAGTCGGGAGAAGAGCAAAAACATCTTTTCCTCTAAGAAAAGCCTCCAGAGCAGTGTTTTGATCTTCTTTCAGTGAAGAAATACTCTTTAATTCCGATAAAACTTGCTCGATAGCCACGCTAACGCTAGTTTCATCGGCTGAAGCCGCCATGTTCTTTAGACTGAACTGTCACGCTTCTGGTTGCGTCACACCTCAAGCCGCCTCAAAGCCAACGCTGATTGGACGTTCGTTTGGTGAACGCCTCCAAATTTTCTTTAACGGAGAGTAGCCAGACCGATCTGCGAGTGAAACCTTGAAACCTTAGCTTGCGAGATCAGGATGGTCTCATGAGGCTAATGAAGCACGAGGATTACGGCTTAAAGTCAGTAGACCAAGAGGCTCTTTTAGCAGCTAATTTGCACACGTAAGAAACTTTTCTTTTAAAGTTAATATCTTAGTCGTGAAAATATATAGGTCTTGGTCTTGGTTCAGCCTTCAGAAGTAATCTGAATCGTAAACATCATGAAATGGATTTGCATTGAAAGCAAGTGTATTTCTTCTGGGTTGAAAGATAGACAGTTTTATATTTCACAACAAATTAATACACACGGCGCTAAAGGCATTGTTGGGTGATATTTAACTGTAGGTGACTTTGAAAGGCTTGATAAAGGATCTTTAGTACCTTTGCAAGGCACTGCTGCATAAAACAAATCCCTATGGGTTCAGGTTGGACATACCTGTCAGAGAGCAGGAAGGGACAGACATCAGGCACAGGAGGGGTCGAAGGCTGGAGTTTTGCCAGCGCCATGATGTGCTCAAAGGTGATGTCTGTCTGTGTGCACACATCCACCACATGGATTTCCTGAGGGGGGCCGTGAGGGCGGCCACTGGGGGTACGCCTGATGACCTGCACCACGACAGGGTCCCTGGAAGCTCGGAAGGCCTCCACAGTCTCATCATGGCTCGATTTTGACAACTCCTTCCCATTTACCTAAAAACGACAGAAAATATTGCACACATTTTAACATAGCAATTTAAAAAGTGCTTTATTTTGACTGAAATGCCACAGATGAGGTTGGATTCAAACTTTGTCAGTAATTGAAATGTTGCCATGTTCTCTCTGTACAACTCCAACGTGCATAGATGCATTCAGATAGAATAATTAGTCTTCCTTTTTTAATCCCTTTTAAGTCTTCTCAACAGTCAATCACAGAGAAATCTTCACCAATTCAACACACATACAAGTTACGAGTTTGATGCAACATTATCAGAAGATTAGATCAAAGCCCAAATGGCTTCTGTTCACTCATTCCATCTTCACCCTCATCTCCACAAAATGAGCAGATTTTCAGTCAGACTGAAAACCATTTGCACTGCAGCTGGCTCACATAAAGAAAATCATAGCTTCATTTAGCCTAGTAATTTCTCTGAAGGCGAAACCACGAATCTGGAATACCTCGGGAGAGCTTGCTTTAGAAGAATTGCTGAAAGCAGAGATTATAATTTAGATAACTAAAAAAAGTAAGTCAAAGGCAGCATAATTATAGATAGTGGTTGATTTAAATGTGGCTTTGGAGAAAAGTATTTTCCTCACAAAGCAAGGTGAAAAAAAAAACAGCTAAAGGAACCATTTACCTTCACGTGCTTGAAATGAAGAAGCATAGGAAACAGCTGAAAAACATCCAAATAAGCAGATTGGGCATACTGGCAGAAATAAAAACACATCACCTTACTGTTACTAGAACACCATGACCTAAATTCAGAAGCAGCCGACGAAGCAACCAGAAGGGAACTGTTACAGAGGAGCTTTGTTTGTTTTAGAGTTGAGAAAAATTCCACCACTAATCCTTTGTTCATGCTCGTCACAAAAACATATCTCAGTGATTTAAACCCAGTGGGAAATGGCTCAGTATGATATCAAGTAATCCTCAACACATCCAAGCATAAATGATCTCTGGATCCCAGTTGAATGCCGACACTTTCACACGTTTTCTGTAAATCCAAAACACCTGCTGACTATTAAAAGTAGATCATTTTTATACATGATGATTTTTTTGCAGTAAATGTGAAAAACTTTGCTACTATCATTGATTAGCAAAGCCTTTTTCAAGTGTAGCAATGCTATTGAATTATTATGTTTTTACCAACCAAAATTGTGTCCTGTGTTTGGAGGTGTACCAAATACAAAGTGAGGGAGAAAGGTTTGAGCAAGTCATTTGACCTTTATAAAATTAAGGGAGTGCAATTTTACTATTATTTATTTCCATTTGCCTTTTTCACATTTTCTACAAAATGTTAAATACTTGCAATCTGAATTAATTTAAAACTGCATACAGAATTTTCACTTCTGTTGCACTTTCTACCTTTGAATGTTTATATTGGAAAATTCAAAGATAAATCTAAACTAATGGGGGTTTAACCTTAAATGTAAAGAAACCCCTCAGGTTTCTGCAGTTTTTACTTTTTTGGAAGCCTAATTGAGGGAAAGGTAATAAACATAGCCACGTGAAGCGAGTACAGTCAGAGAAATACTAGCAAGTATTAAAAAAAGAGAAAATAACACCTTTTGTTTTAAAGTGATTAGAACGAGATAGAGTTTAGTGAATTTTTAACACTTTTCATGTATTATTTAACTTAATAATGTATTAAGTAACTCTAAGCGTGAAGCCTGAATGTCGTTTTGATGCGCTTGTTATTGTTGAACGATTCTCCGATAGAGATTAGTAAAATATTTGGAAGAAAGTTCGAACCAGAGGAGGAAGCAGGTGCAGAACTGATTTATGAACCGTTACATCATCCTGACATGAGCCTGCAATGTACAATTTATATGTAGGACAGGAGACACAACAATGACCTGCCCAGCATGCAGTCTGGAAAAGCAGGGCAGGCAGGGGTAACCTGCATGGTTGGAGACACTATAGAGATTTCTGCATGAGGTGACTGTGGCTTGGTAGGAACGGTATCCTGCAATGCAAAAGCTGCAGGTTCATGTCCCATTTCCTCCTATTACTCTAGATATTAATCTGTTCCTGTGATGCACTTAACTGTATTGGTGTTTTGGTGGTAAGCATCTTGAATTGTTGATACAAAAATACAATAATGACACAGATTAAAAATCAATTTAAATCAATTTATGGATGTTTTCCAAAAATATCTTTTTAAAAACATGTTATTCTGAAGCCTACATTGTGTCCATCTTTTCCTGTTTCTTTTAATACTCTACTTGGATCCCCAGAGACTTAGTGATGCTCCACCAGGAAGATTTTATTATCTGAGCTGTAACATTCCTCATAGACGCCTCCTTTAGCTCTAGTTGTGCTCTGACCTGCTCCAATGTCTCCAGAGGTGACCTTTGTTTGCTGTGAAGTTGCATTAATCACCTGCGTGGGAGATAAACTGGGTCAACAGTACTCAAGTGAAACTGCAAGACGATTTGGAGAAAAAAAAAGGAAAGAAAGTGTGTGTAGTTTAACAGCCCCCCCTATTCCCTCCTTCCCCTGTTTTGCATATATTCTTCATTTTTTGACAACTCAGTATGTATGAAAAACTACATCAAATATTTTAGAATTTTGTAACGCATTAAAGAATCATTGAGCACCATAATATTTAGCTTTAACTGTCCCCCTTATTTTTTTTTTTCTTTGCGTTTCTGTTTCCTGCTCCTCAGCCTAATCCTACAACATCCAGCCTGGTGGAAACAAAGGAGCCGAACTGACAAATGAGGCAGCCTATAGCGTTTGACAGAACCCAAGAAAAATTATCACATTTCCCAGCTCTCCCTCCGGTACTGACTGTCTGGTCCAGCCTCCTCCTCCTCCAAGCCACACCGTTCAGGAATCGTACTTGACAGCCACAATAAAAACAGCAAACATGTAAAGGAGAACAGAAGGAGGGGGAGTGTGAGTTTGTTTTTGTTTTTATTTACTGAATTTGAACAGAGCCAGATGGAGCAATTAATCCCAAATAATAGCATGAATATTAAGCAGTCTTAAGTCCTGCATGAAGGACTTTGCCATATTTATTTTGCCCGCTTGAATGCAATAAGCATTGTTAAACTGTCAAGATGTGTAGGTGTCTCACAGATGGGATGGAAGATCTTTAAGATATGTTTATAGAAGAGATCAAAAATTCTGTCTGCGGAACATGTCATCAAGTCAGGTTTTTAAACTGATTTCCCACCATTAACCCGTTATCCATTAAAGGAACATTTTCCCAGTTTTAAAGTTAAATGCCACAAAAAGATTATAAGTTATTTCATATGTTACTTATCTTGTAATATTATATCTTACTTGCATGTTGTCTCAATTTACAATATATTTAGTTTAACTAGTCACTGACACTAAAGCTGCTGATCAGTCAGAGAGGGATCCGATGTTTTTCACCATAATTGAATCTTTAGTATAATCAAAACACATAATAATAATGACTAACAGCCAGTGATTAACTTCTTGCAAATATGCAACAAACCTGCTGCATTATGTACACAGCCATGATGAGAATTGCATTCCCTCACTACAACTTTTTACACATTCAGTCTCTGTTACAACAGGTTATTAACGGTTTAAGATATCAGTGACTCTTATAAATGTCCAAAAAAAAAGTTAAAAACAGTCCACTGGACTTTGTTTCCAAGTTTGAAGATGATTTTGTTTCCCATCCAATTCAAAATGTCAGGAATAGCGTTGAGTTCGAGGTTTGATACAGTAGCCCATCAAAGCCTTGTTTTTGTTTTGAAAACATGCAAATTGGAATGAACGAACAGGTCCACCCGTTCATCCTGGATTCCAGGATGGGAAGCGAAACTTCTTCAGACTTGGAAAACAAAGTCCAGTGGATTGTTTTAACTCTTTCTTTTTTGGGAATGAATATGACCTGGATGACTGAGAATCTTCGCCTTCTTATAAATGTCACAAATCTGTAACATACCTACATATATATACGTTTTTGAGATAAATATAAAGTTTGGAGATTATTACCAGGATTCTGGTTTTGTCTGCATTAAAACAAGATCCAGCGAATGCAGATGAGAAAGAATCGATGGAAATTCTGGAATCTTAAACATAAAACAGCACAGGGCATTTCACACATCCTGGCTCAGCACATCCTTAATTATCCCTCTAAAATAGCATTTAAGTTACATAAACACAAAACAGCAGTAAGAATGCAAATATGATAATACAAACTAGATTCACGAAAAAAATTTGGCTACCAAAATCATTTGCAACAAATTGTTTAGCAGCTGCAGCTGCAGCCGTCAGCGGGTCCAAAGCAACCTCACAGCTGCTTCATGTCCCCAACTGCTCCATATGCAGCAAGTCAACATGAATTATCTTATCAGCCTGGAACCAAACAATGGCAGTTACTCAGGAGAGATCATTTGTTCACCGATTGGGATGGGAGTCGATCAGGTAAATGTGAAGTTGGAAGAAAATGGGACGGCGAGACAGGAATCCTGGATCAAGACACATCTGCTGGCTGTTTGTATGGGGATATGAGGCGGCTGCTGCCAGGAGAGAAATGTGTTTTCATTTAAAGCCCCTGAGACAAACACCCGCTTCCCAACAACAAACGCAGTCAACCAGCTTAGCATGGTGTTACAGAAGAATCAAGCCACTTTTTTCTGTTTCCTTCATTTCTCAGTTGCAAAGTCCCTCAGCTGCCAAAAACCAAATAAAATAAGGTTGTTTTTGGCAGAGGAAGGAAGTATGTCTTCGCTCTGGTTAATGTCAAACAACAGTTAAAGATGTCCTAAGCTATTGCTAAACTACAAACCTAACTTTGGGAAAAGTCACTCTTTTTTTCCAATCAGTGCTCTTACTCTGAGGCTGCTGTTGCCTACAGCGTAACACGGACTTGGAGATGCTCTTACCTCCGTTCCATCTTATCATTTATCCTCTAGGATAGAAGACAAGCATAGTGGAACAAACATGAAGCAGCTTTGTGCCTTTCTTCAGGTCCCTCCTTTATCACTGCTGCTGTCTCATCAACTGC